GTGAGTATTTCAGGGATGTGGTGGTTGAAATTCTCTCAGCTGCCATTGAACGTCAGCAATGGGAAAAACCCTCGATCTTACTTGATTACTTCGTTGGTGTTGGTGTCCGTTTCTTGCGTTATTACCAAGACAGAGACTCGCTGAACGTCGTTTTCAATTGCTTAACATGTTACCAGTTTCTTTGGAAGAGGATAGAAAGAGAGGGCAGAGAAATATACGCTGTAATCGCTGATCTCAAGCTCTCAGTTCGTTTTCACGGGCTCAGCGACGAGCAAAAAGTAGTTCTGCAAGAGATATGTCTTGCCCTTGAGACCAACAGTCATGTTCTTTTGGAATGTCAACACCTTCTACATTTATGCTTCAGCAACACGTCCCAACCGGTACAGAGGAAATTAAAGATTCCTGCTGCTGTTTCAAACATTGGCATGGAGTGCAGCTGGCTTCGTTGTCTGTCTTGTAAAATTCCAGAAGACATGCACTACTTTGCGATGTCTCCTGATAAGAAATTGCTGGCAGCCGGTGGAAGGAATTCGCACATTTATTTATTGGATGCGTGTACGCTTGAGAAGGTTCAAGAGTCGACTGTGGAAGAAGAAATTGATCATCTTGAGTTTAGCCTGGACAGTAAGTTTTTATTTTTCGGACGGCTTAGCAAAATGTTCTCTTTGCCGCAAGGTTGTGTGAGGGAGTTACCTCAATTTGCAAACAATAACCATTCTTATGTTTGGGGTTCATTTATTTTTGATAACCAGTATGTTGTTGTTGAATCACCGTCTCCTTTTATACCCCTTTGTAATTTTTGCTTGGTAGAAATATTCTGTTCATGGGCCGCACATGAGATTCAACGAGTGGATAGTTTCGAAGTTGATTCTCTGTGTAAATTGTTGGAACATCATGGGTTTCTGTTTGATTCTGAACTCTTGAGGGAAAGTGGCGTTCAGATGTTTCTTCGTCATAAAATTCTGCCATCACATCGCAATCACGGCAGAAGATGCCTATCATTTAAACAAAGATACCACGAGACCGTTCGTCAGCGTGTTATCGACCTCTACGCCGACATTTTTCCTACTCAGGTTTGGAATATGGAGACCGGAAGACCTGTACTAGAAGAAGCGTTTTCAGCGGATGTCCAGTTGAATCCATTTTTCTATCTTTGTCACTTGACGTGGGTCTCCAATTCGATAATGAGGGAAAACTTTCATGGCAGGAATGAACGCTTTTCTCTTAGTGCGGTTGCAAGTTTAAACGCGTGTTTTTTTCTCGAAATGTGGAGGGATAGATGCTATACTCAAAGCCTGTTTAGAGGTTCCCATCACTGCCCACTTTGTGGTCCGTTATCATGGGAGCTATATTTAATCACGCATGTCCCACAATTCCAAAATAATCCCTGCATAAAGCAGTCAAAGATTACTTTAGATCGCAAGTGGATTGCACTTAACATTGAGAGATGCAATTTGTTTGAGAGGATGTCCGACTGCGAGGATTTTAATTTTCAAAACCCCATCTACGTTGTCGGGCAAGTGAATCAGTTTGCTTTCACTGATGACAGTCACATTTTTCTTTACATCACGACGAACAAGTCTCTGGAAGCCCTCATTCTAAATACTGGTAGCATACTGTCAAGTGTTTCGGGGCTAATCCCATTGCATCTTGAACCTGGAAACCAAGCTGGCTTTTTTTTTCGTGCCAATCAAATGGAGAGGATTATCTTGATAAAGGACTTTCCTACAAGCCTTCTGAGGTTTCTGATATTTTCATCTGAAGCGAAAAAAATCGAGAAGGCGTTATTTTTGTTCGACAACCAAGTCTCCCTCGATAGTAACTCAGTGTTCTTCAAACAAACAAAAACAGTAGATTCCGATTTGGTGTCTTGTCAGTCCTCACCAGTGAACCATGCTACAAAATACATATTCTGCTTTTCTGCGTTGGGCGAAAAAATAGTGGCCAGCGAAATATGTGCTAGGATTTTGTTGTTTTTCGGAGATAAGACCACTCCAGTAGTCGTGAGGGCGGCAGATTTTAATTGTCGAGTTACTTTTCTTACATTTTCAGTGGACGGCGCTTTACTTCTCTTTTGTACGCAGATGGCTGATAGCTCTCCGCGTTTCTTTGTTTGGGATGTTCAACTGCAGGTTTTGATGGCATCTTTTGACTCCCCTCTGGGCTTTCAGCCGGTGCACTGTTGGTGCTTCTCAAGGGATGAAAAGAAATTAATAATCTGTGGCGCGTTTCAAATCTCAATCTTCGAATACGATAAGCAACCACTTTGTTCGTTATTAACCTTGGAACCTCCTGGCCCTTTCCGAGAGTTTGACAAATTCACCCACTGCACAGTGTCGTCAGACAATGAGGCACTCGCCTGCTGCATTGCCGACAGAATTCTCGTCCACGCGCTTAATACTCCTAAAGAGCCCAGCCTCATGGAATTACCACGCGGTCACTTTGGACGCATTGAATTCTGTCAGTTTTTGAAAGGACGTCGTTACCTGATCTCCTATGGCGTGGATTGCACAGTGTTGTTGTGGGATTTGGGTGAGTGGAAAGCTGCTGCATATACCATAGTTGCGCAAGGACGAGAAAGTATCTTGGGCATGGCCGTGTGCCCCTCAGAGGATAGGGTTGTCTGTTTGACTGCTTTTGGACGATTTATCGTAATAGATCTTTTTGGACTTGTCAATGATAAACCCAAGGAATTCCCTACTTCAATGTCCGCGAGTAAAGAAATGACGAGCGCGAGAAGTTTTGGACGATTTGATCGACTAAAAGATCCAATGACGTTAAAAAATCCTGGACAATCCTCAAATGATTCGAAACCTATAAACTGGACTGAATATTTTGAAGAAATGAATATAATGGCTGATGAGAATACGGAGAGTGAAGATGACCTGAATGAAGACCACTAATATCAGTGATGACTGAAACATTGATTTCCATTTGAAAGGTTTTTTCTCAGATCCTTTTAACCAAGAAGCGTAAGTGTAGAGGTTGGAATTTACCGTTTTACTGCCTTGGTTTCGTTGATAAAACATGTTTTTGTAAGATGTAGTCAAAGCGTGCTCCTTCAAGAAAGAACAGTTTTGGTTAAGTGCTGTATCCCTATCTCGAAGACCACCACAAAAATCCAATTTTTATTGTAGATTGCTTTCTGGACTTTGCCAAAGACTTGCAATCTTTCGTGTGATAATGCTTCATTCCGTAAGCCTGAACGCTGTTCATGCTCAAGTGAGCAAATTAAACAAAAAGAGATTATTCTAAAATCCTCGGTCTTGATTGTTAATTATTGTGGCGAAAGTGGGCGAATAAGGACACACTTCAAAGAACACAAGCAGACAGCTAAATCTTGCTGCTCATAAGACTTTTAAAAGGCCGATTACCCCTGGACTCATACGCTGCTGTCTCTTCTTTGAGGTATCTCCGGGATTGACCGTCCATGAGATTATTCTTTTTACAATAGACACTACGTGGTGTCCTCATTGACAAAACTCAACCAAACCAGACACAACTGCGTCAAACAGGAGATGAATATATTTCCTGTAATGTGCGAAGTTATTTGAAATAAGCAACAAACAACAGTTAGTCCTGAACATAAGTGAAGACGTAGAACTAATTCAAAATGGTGATAATGCTCAACGTAGTAAATGACAACAAGAGATAGTGCCTGTACGGTGCTGAAAATTGGTGAAAGTTATCAAAATTATTTAAATGTATTTATCCTATCATCTTGTCATCTTAAGGTACACATTATAGCAAAGGTGGTTTTCCTTGTTAGAAGTGGAATACTGTTTCCACTCTTTTATCGCATTACTGGCACGTAGAGAACATGTTATCATCATGACGACTGTCTTCCAGAGACAATAGAAAGCTTTATCAGTTGCTAAAGCAGTACTTAGAAAGTGTCAGTTTAAACATTAACTGATATTGGCCTTGAGAATTTAGCGAGTGGTCTGACACAAATTTAGGTGATTTGGCCTTGCCGTTTTTCAGAGAACGGCTAAGAAATGTAGAAACTTTTGTAATACGTTTGTGCACAGTCATTGTTCGGAGCAATAACGTTTCGTTTTGCTTCTGACTTTGTAATTATAGTGAAGCCAACCGTCCACTCTCATTTGGATAATTTCCCCCTTAAAGGAAACGAGTTCTACTTTAATCGCATGCACAAGGATGCAGTCAAGCAATTTTACAGCCTATGATCGTTGTGATGTGGTCACAAAAAATTGTGTCCCTCTTCCCTCTTTTTGGTTTTTTTCATCCATTGAATTTATCCGGTAGAGTTTGGACGGGGGCCTAAGTCTTGCTTTCAAAATCTGATATGATTTGTCATTTGCATGATCCCCGTTTTACATGGTTCATCTTAGACAATGCAATCTTAAAATTGATAAAGGGGGCAAAATTAGTACAACGCTGGGTATCTTTCAAAGAAAGATTTCCTTAGATTCACAACTATATTTCGCAGATTAGTTATATTATAATCAGTGACGGTGGAAATTTCAAGGTTTAATCGCATTTAAAATGTTAATTTAGTTGAAATAAGAAAAAAGCTATATTCAAAAGGTGATCAAAATGGTGTGCTTTTGACTTTTTAGACAAGCAAATAAGCTATTCTCGTTTTCTTGTTGTGTTGACAGCTAAACTGCTTTCCCTGTTTTTCAGTCACGGCAACGGTTACTAAGAAGGCGGCCCCACCAAAGCTTAAACTGCGTGCGGTTTCTTAGCTGTTTAAAGTCACATTTCCATAAACCTTTAAAAACGGAAACTAGGGAAAAAGTTACCATGAAACCGCGATGGTAGCTGAAACTCCAAACATAGTTCATTGCAAAACTCGGTGTGTGCTTAAAGAAGATTGATTCACAATCCGAAAGGCGTAAAAAAGGGATTTCCCATGTAGGGGAAAATTTGCAGAATATTCTAAGGGAGCAGTTGAACTGTCAATGGCAAATGAGTATATTTTAGATACACAGGAACTGTAATGCAAATCTTATAATTTTAAAATTTTTGCTGTAACATTTTTGTATTGATGCTTGTTTGAATTAAATGCTGTTAACAATTAGACAGTTGTGTAGTTGCCAACCTTTTTCAGTTTTATTACTCTATTTGATTTGCCGATTATGACTATAAAACCAAACAACTCTGCAACCGCTTAATACCCATGGAGTTTAATTGGTCAATCTATACATTACACGCCGTAGTGTTGCATGTCAGACACGTGATCAAACAAAATCATTTCGTTAAATATAGCAGTAGTTCATTCATTTTCACTTAGAGAGGCAGTCAACGCCATTGACCCAATTTCTTCCAGATTTCACCGCTTCACATGCGTTTTCAGTCATTCTTCTTCATTCAGTGTCATCTTAGTGGTTCTCTTCAGTTGTGTGAAATAGGAACGGATCTACCGAAACAGTCCAAGAGAGGAGTAAGGGATTCGCAAGCGGCATGGATACATTTTTCTTGTATTGACAGATTTTTAAATGCTACTTCTTTCGTTAGTTTTCTTTCGACAACAAAAAAAATCTAATAAAGAGCCTGGCTACTCGACGTGGAATAATTTGGTCCCCTTCAACTACCCTTACATGACTCTTTTGAAAACTTCGTGCAGCTCCCAGTCTCCTTCGCAGCCATTCGTTAGGATGTCACATGACACATCCTCAAATAATGCTTTTTTAGGAATTTCGTGACATCTTAAAGAACGGCTGCAAATGAGGCTACTCAGCTCACCCTTTCAAAATATGACTTATCATAAAACTGGAACGTACCCCGAGTGTCACATCATTGTCAAAAGGTTTCGTTATCAGCAGTCGGTAGAGTGAAAAAGAGATTTGATGTTTAACCCTCGAAACCTTGCTTTCCTGCAATGTTTCCTTAACCCTTTAGCCCCTAGTGATTGGCAAGTAATTTCTCCTTACAATATCACCCCTGAATCAAACACTAAGGTCATGAGAATAAAGGAAATGATGGCTAATTAAAGAACCTCTTGTTTGTTAATCAAAATTTTCCTTGTCAGCACCTTAGAAAATGTATGGAGAACAGTATGGAAAGTGCATACTGATGTTGAAGTGTTAAGGGTTGACATTTACATCGAGAACCTAGATTGATCAGATTGTTCAGGTGTTATCAATATTTTCATTTGTCCCTTCCTCTCAGTCAATTTCGTGTAGTGAGCGCAGCTGAGTAAGTACAACATCCTTTTGATCTGAGTTTAGTCCATGATTAATTGTTCCTCTGACAACTGAGTACGATCCTCGTCTGGTTGGGGGTGAAGTCAATACCACTTCTTTTTTCCAGCGACAACGGTAAGGAGAAGCGCAGAAAACTCGTGAAAGAATCATTAAGAAACCGTGACGGTAGCTCTGATTGAAGATAAAGTAGGTAAAAAAGTTCAAAGCGCCATTACAGTGTACTAAATACTGAGTTACAAAGCGAAAGTTTTTAGAAAGACAAAGAGAACCTACGGGACCGAAGAGATCAATTGATAGATACACTACAAACGGTGACATTGAAAAGAAAAATACCACCACAATTGCCAAAGACATCTTAAGTACATTGCGATTTCTCTTTTCGCGGCGGCTAAAGTGGACCACTAAATTCCGTACTCCATAAAGTGTCTGCTTTCTCAGCTTTTGAACTATTAAACCATAGAAAGTTGTTATCAGAATCAGCGGTACCACATAAATTAATGTTATCAGCAGTAAAAAGACGATTTTCGTAACGTCTCGTGACCATCCTAGAAAACAGTATGTTTTACCATCGTCAAAAGTGCGGATCTGGAATCCGTAGAGATATGGGGCGTGGATAACCGCTGATATCAACCATATGAGCAGAATAACGTATCTCACTTTAGGTTTGATTTGCGCAGCTTTTAGTGGGAACCAAACAGCATAGAAACGGTCCACCGCGATCGCCACTAAGGTCTGAACGGAGACCAGCGTAGAAATGTCTTGAAAGAATGCTGTGAGTTTACAAAGTACTTCTCCGAAAGCGCCATCAATAAGCCATCGGAGATTTCCGTAGATTATCTCGACGTTGGCCCGAGGCATGGCGAATATTGGAACCAGGAGGTCGGAAACGGCCATATTTACGATGAGTAAATTTGTAGTGGTTTTCATTTTGTCGTCCCGATAAACTACCATGATGATCAAAGTGTTTCCAATAAGTGACACCATAAGGAGCAAGCAGTAGGCTAACGTCTTGCAGATTTTAGCTGCCGCAGGATCCTCTATTAAGATGCAGGATGACACGTCGTTCCCGCCAGTAGTATTGTTTACATTCATTCCGGAGACTGTTGTAGAGCCTTCACCGAATTACCGAGTGATGTGGCAACTTTGATATCTTTCTAATGAAAACCACAACAACTGAATTAGTTTCGCAGAGTGTTAAAGGCAGATGACAGAGTGTTAACGTATTGAAGTATTCGATTCAACTCTACTTTGTGGGATGGCTGCAAGAAACTTGAATTTAAAGTTTTATAATAGGACAAAGGAAAGAAATGAACAAGCGACGTCATCTTTCGTTTCTCTTGAATAATTCATCCTAAATTTTTGAAGGTTGTCATTTGGAATCCGCTTAAATGTCTTTTATCTCGTAAATTACCTTAGTTACTATTTGGTTTGATTTTACCTTTACCTTTTCAATGCTTTTCCACACTACCCCGCTATTGTTTTGAAGTATCCTTCCAGTTCTTCTAAGCAATAAAAGTGCTCCTATTTATTTAAAATTTCAATTTTCCAGTAAGACGTTTGATCGCAAAAATGCAAGGCTGGATCTTCAGCATTCGTGACGGAACGCGAAATTATCAAAACTGACCAAATCAAAACGGTAAACGGTCATTTGAACTTAGGAATGATCATATTAAGCCAGGAGCCTGCGGAGCCAATTTCCTTTTCCGTGACTCGTTACTGTCATTATAGTCAGTACGTGCTCCAAACATACTTCAGGCCGAAACATTGAATTGTTTTTAATGTTAGTTCAGGCTGTGTTTACATTGCAACTTGTTTAATTAAATATGACTTAAAGAACTTTTTTGTTCTTTTATGTCAGCTAAGACTTGAAAACACAGTTTGGTTTGCGGCACGGAAAGGTCAGCGGAAAAGGTGATAGTTTAATTGACGCCATTTAAACGTGAACGAAAACGGGTAATAGCATAACTTGGTAATTTTACCTTTTTTATGGAACATGTTGGAATCTAATGTCAAAGACGTTTATCCGGCCGGAAATATCAAACTTACAGGGTTAAGGAACTTTACAACTCAATCTGTTCAAATCAATTCGCTCTCAAAAGCAATGACCTGTAGAGAGAAAGATTCGCTTAATCGCGTAATACCATTCAAGTATTGATTTGAAATATTCCAAATATTTAGTTTTGTTTGTACTAGCCTATACGGCGATGATTCGTTTGTTCATGTACATGTTTCTTGGTCTTAGCTCTTCCAAATTAGTTATCAGAGCCTCTCTCGGACGCTTTCGTTTTTTAATGCTTCCGCTCGATAAGGAAAGGCAAAGGGAAACTGGACAGAACACCAAGTCAATTTGATTTAAGTGATATGTCTTTGGTTTTATTAATGAAAAGAGCCCTTTAAAATCCATCGACGGTGTAAATTCATAAAGGTGCATGTTCTACGATCTTTTGCGGATAAATCTTCGACGTGTTTTCAACCAAAGGACACTGTCTAAAACCAGGCAATATTTTTAGTTTTAGCTCCAGGCACAACGTTTTCTTTCTAGCCACATTTCTGTTTTTGAATCAGCAGCCATAACAATGGAATGGCAAACCTTCAAATTAACGAAGTTTTCCCGTCGCAAGTTAAGAAGATTGTTTCTGATTTAAAAGCTGTCAAATGTTTATCAACCTTTGGCACCAGTGCCGCATGATGATCGTCTACGCGACTTAATAAAGATTTTTGGAATTTTTTTCTCAATCCTTGATCATCAAAGATTGATATGATATCATATGGAATATGACCAAAGCCCTCGCCCGCAAAACCGAGATTACTATGATTGTAAAATTGCATCAAGATGTTACTACAATTACGGTCGGTAGGGTTGTCTACACTCAAAAGCTATTTCAAAGCTCCATGCATACAAACTAGCTGTGGTGTATTCTTCTTTAGAATAAAAACAACTTCAAAAACATATCCAGAGAGTAAGGGTGGCTTGAATTTGAAGGGAGAATTAGCGCACAGTTACTGTAGGAAATGCCTAAGTTCTTTTTTATATAAATATAGCCTGGCTGAATTTGTTTTGAAGATGCAGAAGAACCCCGCCAAGCAGAACTGTCAAGGAAAACGTAAAACAGCTTTGGACACCGTAGAGTTCCAGTTTGTGGATACGACTAATTGTAAATTACTGAAAAGCGTACTTCAAGGGAAGTAGAGTAATTAAATTTTAGCGGAAAGTTCGAGTTGAAACCAGATCGCCAAGCTTGAATTCGTGAGGCTCCAGTGCTGGGCAAAGTAAAACAAAAGTAGCCGAAACACTAGCCTACCTTTCTTCTCTGGAACGACGCAATTCTCGTAAACGAGGTAGCGGAAACAATCACATACGTGTCCGAAGGGAAGTCGCCGAAGAAGTCAAACAACCCTGACCCTAACCCTATGAAGCCTGCCTTGGTTATTGGTCAGATAAATTGGCGTCATCGTTACTTCAATCTCACTGATAGTGATGGCTCTCACGGTTACTGAAAAAAGGGACTACTTTTAAATCGATCTGGAACGACTCAAGATGACGCAAAAACCGTCAACACCTTGACTCCATCTGTCCACATGTAGATCCAAACCAAACCAATACATTTACATTGGGCTGAGGTGCATTGACCTTTACGGAGAAAGGCAATTTACTAAATGTTTATCAGCTAATTGTTTTGAGTGTCAGTCGTTAAGCCTTGCTATATTAAACTGTCAAAATATCGCAATCATACGCCAAACACAACGATAGTTTCTTTCGTTTACAAAGTGTTAATAGATGGAAAATTTAATTAAACTGACTCCAAAACGAATAAAACCAGCAGTATACCTATGGGACATGATTGTTGCCATGGAGGCTTTGGGGCGACTTGTTCCTGTCTGTCTGAAATGAAGTTCACCCATTTATCGACAAACTTCTTCCATTTAATTTTTCATAGTGTAATATGGAAACCAAAACGTCTTCGTTGAAACTTGTAGTGATTAAAATTACCAAATAACAAGTTCTTAAAAACCAAATATCATAGGAAAAATACCAGAAATGATTTTAAATTAGATAGTAGAACTTCTACGTGGAGTGTAACAAAGCAGATTTGCTGCGTCTTTACGTGTATATGACGCAATGAAACCTTTTATTTGCGTAAATGTATATATATATATATAAATATATATATATGAAACGTCATTCTTCATTTAACAACACTAAAGAACTAATTAATTTCGGCGTCCCTGAATGGATAAATGGCACCAATTATCTTTGCGGAGGGAACTTCTGTTTACGTTACAAACTTTCATATGCGGACCAAAGCAAACTCTTTTTACCATGCTTCTCGAGTTTCTTACATTGCTGATAAGAGATGAAATCAGCACTAAAATTCAAGTGGAAACCTATTTCAAAGTGAAGATACGAGTTTTCAAGCGATCACTCGCGCAAAAAAATACAGTTTGCTTATCATTCTGTTCATTGAATACGGAGTAGTATACAGCGAGGACTGGGGAGAAAGAGGAAGCCAAAGTTCCCTATTTTTCCTGAATGGGTTTGTGCGTGGGATTATAAACTGATAATCTCTCGGTTTGTGCTATTGAACAGGTTATGGTTTTTTTTATGGTCTTTCAAAGGATTTGTATTTTCATTATATAGGGGTTACAACGTTGTTAGAGCGCGCTGGGCGTGTTATACTATCATTATTCAAAATAAAAATTGAAATAAGTAAAAAATGAAGCAAGATAAGAAATACAGAAAAAAAAAACCCTTAACGCTAACTATCCTGTTTTAACATGTATGATTATGTATGAATTAAATTAATGTATGATAACATTACACGTGCCTCTTCAAGACCTAAATGCCATAATTTACACATTTTTTCTCCCAAACAGAGATGCGAAATGAATAAATCAAGGTTCGCATCACCCCACTGAAACCTTCGTACTTCAAACCTCCAACTGAAGCAAAATGTGTACGCCACACTGTAACAATATCTTCCAACCGAAAGCCAAACTTTTAGCTATTTACAATACCGAGAGCATACACGAGCCCGTCAGAAGCTGTTTCACACACGTTGAATAAAAACTAATGACACTGATTGGAGGCAAATAAAAATCTTTAATTTCTTATACCTTATACCTTCTGATATCAAAGTAAATCTTAACAAGCACGGTTGTCTGTAATATCCTTTATAAATAGACTGCCAGTATAGACAGAATAGGGACCCTAATCTCGCAGTATTATCGAGGATCATTGTTATAAAAGGACCGAAAAGGGCAGTTTTTGGATTGGCAAGATGTTTTGTATCAAAGGCTGCAATAGATAGTTTTTTCCCCCTAAAAAATGGAATAGGGTTTATTCGGCAAAAAACGCCACTTCTGCAGTTTCATCATGATACATGGTGAAAGTTAGACGACACAAATATCTCTAGAACTCGGAATTTTCATAAATTTCGGTAATTGTTAGAAGAGTGAAGAGATAATAGTCTATAATCTCTAGGAGGAGTGGAATAGCTGTTATAGTATTCCGCGCAGAGGTATATACATTATTTTAACCTTTTTCCTCCTTGGATTTACAGACCCATTCTTTCAGCTGAAAATGATATATTTTTCTGTTAACTCGTCTGAAGAATTTGAGGTTCGATCACCAAAGTGTCACCCGATTGATGAATTTCTTGATTCTCATGAAGTGTGTACTTGACAGTGTTTTAAAAATTGTAAGGAGAGCTGGCATAATGATCAATCCTGGAAGTCAAAGATAGCTCCTTTAATCTGAATCTTTCGACGAAAACGTCCACGGTTGCGGTAACTCGCCCGCGAACTACGCGAAATTTAAGCCCAAAATAAAAAGCTATCGTAGAATGATTTTTTTTGGATAATTCTTTTACGTCTTCACAAATCGCCAGACAGCTAGGAAAAGCGTCACACAAGACAGTAAACTTCCTGTTGACAAAAAACAAAACAGACGTAAATGTGTGATCGAAAACACTTGAAACACAACCAACTGTGACCACGTAGGCTTTTCACCAGCTAACGTGTTGTCAGCTTGAGTGACTAGAGCCCAGTTGAGGATAAGCTCGTTCACATTTTCAACATGTGAAATCTCTGCTATATAAATACATCCAGCTTGAAAAACACTATAGCTCTCGGGCGGAATACAACCGTACAGTCAATCGCACCCCCCACCCCCCCCCCCTCTCCCGCCCCTCTAGATATCGACCCACCAGTTCACAAACGTATCACTTGGGCAAATATCTCAAAACAAACAGTTGTCTCTCATCCTCTCGTCACGGTCATCTAGTCTTAGGGAGCTGACGAATGCGCGACTTTCTTCATAACACCGAGTCATGGTGACCTCCAATATAATTATTCCACAAAAAGCGTCTGAAAATTCGCAGTTGCAGTGAAAACAAAACATTTTTAAACACCGCCAAATGATCGCCTGAGAGATGCCACCCATGCCCTTGAGTAGGGCGATGTTATGAGACTTCGACGCCGCGAGAAAAGTCGTCGGTACGTGAGCACCCAGTTTTTTCGTAGCAAAACAACTGCAAAACAGCGAATAACCAACGAGGATAATATTGGCTTCTTACCGACAATGTACTTGATTAAATCCAGCTTCTGAGATTCAAGTTGTGTCCCCAGTTTGGCTACCTAGATTAATCACAAACCAGTATATCAAGCCAAGCTAAATAGAACAGTTTTAAACTGAGTTTCGAAAACCAAAACCAGAGTTATCCGATAAGAACAGAGGTTTACACTATCATTCGCAAATGAAACCTCAAAGTGAAAACAAGAAAACTGCTTGATGCGCGGGAATTGTTTTTAGTTTTGCATCTGATTGATTGAGAGGATAGCTCGTGTTTTCTGGACCAATCACTGAGCAAGGTTTAGTAAAACCAAAGCGATCCCAATTACTTTTAATCCAATCGGATTACTTTCGACACTCAATTGAAAATTGTTCCATCTGTTACCAACGCGCAACATTACAATAAGAAATAATAGCAGACGTTCTCAGCCAGCCTTACCTCAGTTTCTATTCTGTTTTCTGTGTCCTTAATTTTCTGGTCTCGTTGTGCAAGCTGAAATGAAGCAGTTCAGAAGAATTGAGACGCTTATGAGTAGACTCGAAGTAATTCGCACAGGGACGCAAATTTACTTTAAACCTTCAACTGGAACCAAACACAAGGCAAGTGCAGAAGTGTTTTAGAGCAAACCTCTTCTTTGATACGACTCTTTTCCAGGCTGAAATCTAGTGCCATTCCGCCTCGGAGTTTTGCCACCTCGTCCTAGAAGGGGCAACATCATCAGATGCAGAACTTGATTTACGTCATTAAAATCCAAGATATTGACTATAATGAGAAGTTGTAAAAAATCATTGATGCTGTTTCTACCTGTAAAATTCCTTTGAGGGATTTAACTTCGTCTCTTAGTTTCTAATAAACAAGAAAAAGAAAAATAGCAAATTCAGTTCAATATCAACCATCTTTCACAAACATTTGACCACGAGCAGTCCATATTTTCTATCAGAGTCACAAAGGCGCGTGGCGTGAGGAAGGAAGTAATTTTTAGTCAGAACTCTGTTTGAAATGCGGTGTATTTTATTCCGATGGCACGTATTCCTCGTGTGATTTCCGCGAGCCAAAGCATGTTACTGCGTTTTGGAGATCCATTGGACGAGCGGCAAAACAGCGCGGAAAATGGCCTTCGCTGATTTGTTTGGTATCGCAAGACGAATCGCGTCGGAAAAGGGGACTTCTCGTATTCTAAACAGATTATAATTTATAACATTATAATTTTTCTATCAACTGAGTTGAGACGCTGAGTTGGCCGCCGTAAAGAGATTGTAAAGCTCACGTTTCAAGCGTTGACTAAACGCGATTCGCTTTGACGAGGGGCTAACGTTGGAAGCGCTAGCTTCAGAAACCCTTTAAGGTGACCAATTTACACTATCAACTTAGTTGATAAAACCAAATTATTTCGCAATACCCTCAACCGACGCAGCACCACAGTTTCTCTGGAAACTTACCCCCTTTAAACAGACTTGATTGAGTTGAAAGTGTACACTGATAATCTGATGACAAATGCAGTAGCTTCCCCTATTGATTACTACGAACTATTAAATCTCACTTTTTCCAATTTGTACCTGGTTTTCCTCTTGAATACGAGCAAATTTTCCTTGTTCGAGAAGGAACATTTCATTTCTGAGGAGAAATAGAAAGAGTTTAATACCATTCACCACAAATCCACTTACCAGTAATAAAACAAACGAACAAAGAGACAATACACCTAAGATGCTATATGATATGAGCTATGCGGATTAAGAAAAAAAGTGCTTATACCTGACTGAATCAACTAGGCCTTTAAATTTCACTTCAAGCCTTTCCTGGAAATGAAAGGAACACAATATTACAGAACCATAGCTATACATAACTACTGCATTCACAAAATGAAATAAGACTCAAGCAAATAGATTCAAAGCCCAGAAGAAAGTGAACTTCAACAAAGTTTTTTTCTGATCTGAGTACTGAAAGGGAAAAAAAGAAAATTGAGATTTATCTTTTTTCTTTTGGAGACCCAATTTCACAGTTCTGATTTGGATATCACATCCAAAAAGCCTTCTTATGCATAACTTCAGTAATTATGACTGGTGTTCCTCTCCTTGAAGATGAGGATGTCATCATACTGAATGAGGAACAAAGCTCTATTATTATGGACAGAACAATTAGTAATTTGCTAATGCTGTGGGTGTTCAAATCCTTTACAGCCTAACATCAGCATGAATATTCTCCATACTGAAGATTTTAGATATATGAAAATTCATGAATATTCTCCATACTGTTCTCTATACATTTTCTTGTTCTGGGATGATATTGTAAGGAGAAATCAGATGCTAGTCACTCTTTGAGGTGAAAGGGTTAATGCAAGAAGTAGCTACTATCTTGTGGCCTGAGGGAATATTCAATTTGTTCCCCCCCCCACTCCCATAAGAACATTGACACCCTCAAAAATGAGAATTGAGTCACACTGACAGTTCTTATGTCGCAACCCGACTGTACTCACCTGATCAATTTTTGACACAGTGCTATTTGTTACACTAAGAACACTTGATGTGATTATATCTACCAAAGATGTTGTCAAGCTCTCAGCTTGTGCTTCTGTAAATCCTGAAAGAACATGGTTTAAAAGAAAATTAAAGGAAAAACATTTATGCAGTAAAATAGCCTGTGGGTAAGCTAAGCTCATATAGGCTGCAACAGGAGTGGCTAGAAAAAAAAAAACAAGAAATGATGGCTGAGAGGATCTTAGCTTTTGTGTCAGGCTCCTTGCAGGCCCAGCTGTCAACTTTGCCTTTTGTACCACAAGCCTTGTCATAGGCTTCTTACAAGCTAGTGACAAAGTGTCTTCCACAATGGTAGCTTGTTGAAAGAATAATTGCTACCCTACATATCATAATATCATACAATTTACAGTCAATTCCTACCTATAATTTCTTCAAAGCTTCAAGTCAGAGGGCAAATTTAGTCATCTTCCAACAGTTTAATCTTGATTAGTCTTGACAAATTTTCCAAAAACCTTAGCAGATAATAAGCCTATACCATTTGTAGCACATTTTTTCACATCCCTTGCAAGGCTACTTTCCTGATCCTTGAAGACCCTTGATACACCCTACATTCATTAATGAGCGTCATGTAATGCTACAATTCCTATATGTAGCAACCAGCAGATCATCAACTCTATAACACAACAACTGTACAACACTACCATTTGCTCTGATGAAGGGCTTAAACTTGAAATGTCTGAAACTCATTATGGTGGCCAATTTGCATAATCAGATCAGTTGATAATACTAATAAAATTACCCTATGTAAAATGACAACATACTGCTAACTATATTCAATTGTGATATGTCACAACTGAGCAAAAATGAAAAGTTAATTTAATGCAGAGAGTCATTATTAATAACCTTATAGATTCCTATAAAAAGAGCATGCATCGCTAGACATTTGGGAAGTGTAATTGACTGATTAACTAACCATTCTCCTGGAGTCTTCTGACCAGCCTGTGAGTATCAAAATGAAAACTAACCCCGCTGGGTGTGATGTACGAAGAGTTTGAACTCGATCTTTTCCAGCAGCCCTTGCCTGCAATAAAAGAGCATTAACCTTAAGCTCCCAAGATCAAATAAGTAATTCTCCCTGCTGACTGTCATTCTGATCATTAAATGCTGTGGTTTGACCTTTGCTAAAGATAAAAGGAGAATATGTTGTCTAGGGAAATCATGAACCCAGTGGAGTAAGAGCACTGAACAGCACAATTATAAGTCTACAATGTACTACTGGTCCTTTAAAATACTCTCCAGCCTCCCAGTGAATGATACCCCACTCTAAACCAGATCCTGCTTATCTATATTCCCTCTCCTATCCTCCCTGGCTGCAAATATCATCACACAGCCCCAAAGACCTCTGGGGTGGGGAAGAAAATTATATTGCTTGCCAATGAACAAATTCAGACAAAGCTGAGGGAGGCTGATGGTTTAGTTTGACAGTGATTACATAGATGCAGTACCACCGGTTTAAACAAGTTCACGTACTTCGGTCACGTAAAAGCCTTATGGGAAGCACGCGATGGAAAATCAACCGCGTATTACCTTGGAGGTCACAACTTGCCGGATGAAAATGATTTCTTATAAAGGGAACTTAGAATTAAATATAGGGAGGATTTCTCCTTCAGATTTATCTACTGTACTTACCATTACGTTCTTTTAGTCCGTGGAAACAAAGAGAAGAACATCTTGGTGCTGATAACGATAACAAACCTATTTTTAAAAAATCAGCTGCGGTCGAGAACATCTTAGAAGTTTGCATCAAATTGGTCTTTCCACCGATATTGTTAATATTAGTTACACAGTGACAGGAACGAAATAAATTGAAATAGCTGGCTAGAAAAACCTGATTGCTTTTGAACATATTTAAAGATGTAGTTTCTAAAAATCTCCACTGTTGAATTATTTAATGTTTTGGCGGCGTCCTTCTTGAACGACTGAAATAACTCTTACATACTGTGAAACATCTCATGTGATGCTTCCGCTGATCAGATGTTCTGACGGCTTCGCCCGTTTGCGTTTGCAAAATAATGTAAGATTTGGTTAGACCACAAAGTACCCCTTTGTACATTTTTCAAATTTTGAAGGCCTTTTTGTCCAAACAGCGGTAACTGTAAAACCGACGACGACAGTAAAAAGAAGGACTAAAGTAAAAGTATACTCTTTTTCTCAATACAGTGTACAAATAAGTATTCTAGGATATATCAAATACCATGAAACTGAAAATACTGAGAAAACTGATTTGTATCAATTTATTATATTTTTGTGGAAGGGTAAGGTTGAAAAGGTTTTAGGACAAACTGTCTTTTCATTTTTTTTTTCTTTTTTGGTTTTACAACTCAATCAGCCATTAATATCTGATTGGTAATTACTAAATAACACAAGTTAACAAATAGAAATATGCAGAATACATATATATATATATATATATATATATATATATATATATATATATATATATATACATACATATATGTATGTGAGAAAAAATTAGACTTTGAGAGGCACAAATATTATATACTTTGGTACTAAACGTTTTGCTGGTAAGGGCTTCATCAGTACAAAGTTAGGTAAACTAAGGCTAGTTAAATTTATACAATAGGCTGCTAAGGTTTGTTAACTTGAGGTGTTAATGTATTGTTAGTGTTTGTCCCATACATCCATTCATAATTGAGATGTGCGCTTCATTATATTTCTTAATTTCAAGGGCCTCCTACATTTTCATACATTTATAAATATATATATATATATATATAAATGTGGGAGTAGAGTCTACCTTGGCATAAAGTGCTCAATGCTGTGGTAGCAGAGCTGAGTATAAATAAGTGAAAGAATCAAAGAGGATGCATCGATTCTCTGTTACTCTGAGTTTCATGCCTTATCGCTTGTCAGACAGAACTTTTCTGTCTTAAACAACGTTACACACAACACAAACTTTCTTTTCGAAGCAGAAACTATTCAAACAGCATGGAACTATCAAAGCATATCTGGACACTCAAAGACAACAACACCAATTTTACAATAAACTGGAGTATTTTAGTGACCGCCCCGGCCTACAGCAACAAAAGCAAGCCGTGCTACTTGTGCCTCACAGAAAAACTTTATTTAATTAGAGCTAAAAAGCCATCTTTATTAAACAAAAGAACAGAACTCATTTCTAAATGTCGCCATGAGAATAAGTTTTACTTAGCAAATTTCACAAGCCGCCAACAATAACTCTATAGAATCTTTATTTCACATGTAGATCAGATCATCACACTAGTGAATTAATTAGCTACTTATCTAATTTGTATATAAGGAGGTATGTTCTTCATTGAATAAAGTTCTGTCTGATGAGTGCTTAGGCGCGAAACTCAGAGTAACAGAGAATCGATGCATCCTCCTTGATTCTTTCACTTATATATACTCAGCTCTGCCACCACAGCATTATGCCAAGGTAGACTCTACCCACATATATATATACACACACAAACACACACACACACACACACACACACATATATATATATATATATATAAATACTGAAAATATATACTTATTAAAGAACTGAGTTGGGTGGTATAGGAGAGAAAAGACCATATGCTAAGATGAAGCATGACCAAAATTCCTGTGCAAGGCATGTCCCCACTAAAATAACTAGATAATCTTTACAACTAGAAGTAGTCTGCATCACAAAACAACTTTATTTCTGGGTTTAGTGACTCATTTTTCACTTTGTTAAACTACTGAAAGCTACTGGTATTTTGTTTTTATTTATTCAATAATTTATTTTTTCCATTCTTTACACACTATTCTTGAAAAGCGTGGAAAATAATTACATTTTGTATGTCATAGCTTGTAGCAGATTGTGTTAAAGGTCTCACGTTGAAGGGGGTGTACCTTTGATATACAGACAAAACAAAGTTACTGTACAGGTAACAAATACAATTTTTTAAAATCTACAAACAGTAGAATCTGCCAAACACAGTGCACCCTTAAAATGCTACATGAATACAAATACTCCTAACAAAAATTCAAATACTACCAGGTCTTACTACTGTAGTAGACTTAACCAGTTACATAAGAAAATATTAGATAAAATGCTATGTTTTGGCTCATTTTGATTGAACTTTTGAAACTATGTAATGTAGTACCCAGCATGTAAGTGCTTCACAGAAAAATTTGAGACAAAAGAAGCAACAGCAATTGGTTAATTTCATGTGTTCATAAAAAATACATGTACAAAGTGCTCTTCTCCAGAGTATAGTTTGGCTGAAACACATATAACATAAATATATATTACATTCTTGTTCATGTTTTTTGGTGTGCTCTTAACATACTGGTTGTTGTAGAGAGTGTAACTGTGGCCATTGTTTCATTCCAAGAATGTACTGGTCATTTTTCTTGTAAAAAGTTATCATCTCATCAAGATCTCTGTTTCCATCTACAACCTGAAAATAACAATTAAAAACTTTTAAATTCCCAGAACTTTCAATACATCAGTCAACAAACAGATAATAACAACAAATAGACAATCAGACCAAGAGGTTGATCTTGATGTAAAACTGAATACTTCTGTGGTGACTAATAACTATTTACAAAGAAGTGTATGATTCAGGCAAAAGCAGGAATTTCCATAAGGATCTTAAGATACCCAAGCAAAGTTTATACATGAGCCACTGAGGTTCTAGACACCAAACTGTTACTGTACCTGTTCGTATTCAGGGAAATCTGGGATTGCATTAGATATGAGTAACTACTGTATGTTCTACTTCTAAGCTTATCAGATGCAAACTGAAACCAGCTGTAACTTTATTATAGTTTGTTTACTTCAACTTTGAGTTCAGTTGCCCTCCAATATTCCTAGTTCTTCAGTTTTTGTAAAACAAAAGCATCTACATGTGCATTAGCAAATAATAGTTTATTCACCATAACTGGAGCAGGAACTGGAAACTTTCTTTGAATTAGCCATTCTTCATGTCTCTCATGTAATGCATTTAGGAGTTCCTGTAAACAAAAAGGAGAGGACACAAATAATAAGATTCAATCACAGTACACCTCCTGCCAATCAGGAACCCTTCTGCAATTATCTTAAATTTTAAAAACATTTATGGTTGCTGTTAACCTACTCTCAGCTCGACTGGGAGTTCATATGGTATTAAAACAATGAAATTAATTATAAATAAGAAAATTGTGTTTGTAATGGTTCATCAAACAAACTTTTAAGAAAGGACGGATCTATTTAGAGCAATTTTTTCTCAAAAATGATCAAAAACACAATCTTCTTCTCCCCAGAGCATTTTACACGTAGATGTGTACTTGAAAATGAACAGATAAGTTACAGGCACATTAATAAGAATTGTATGGTAAAATTTCCAATACAAAAATCTTATAAAAAAAAACAACAACAACAATACACATAACCTACCATAGGGATTGTCTTTTCTTCACTTCGATTTCTTGCCTTTATTCTTTCCATGCAGGTTTCAGGAGATGTCTTTAGGTAAACTGGGTGAAAATTTTATTGTAACATTATCTCAGACAAACCACCCATATTGATATCACACTACTGTTGTACTTTAAAACAAATGACAACTTGTAGTTATGATGATCATCACAATCATGGAATGTATCATGATTTCTCTTGTTGATGTTTTATGGAAATTTAAAAAACTTACTGATTAGATCTAGATGAGGTTGCTGCTGCTTTGTTATCCAGTTGAACCACTCATTATGAACAGAGTGTTCTGCTTTGGACATCATGCCACTGTAAAAATGAAAGCCATTTTTAACATCCATCTTTCAGGATGGCTGGTGAATGCTTTTGGAGTGAAAGAGAGTGAGTCTCAAGAAGTTATGGAAAATTCTAAAATATGCAATCACCTTTTACAAAGATTGTGCTCAAAACAAAAGTAGCCACTGTAGACACTCCTTTCGATCATTTTCACTGGTGTAACCTGATGAATGAGATGGCAAAAATTTTAACTTCTTCAAAATTATAGGCACACAGAGGCCAAGCTAAAAAAACTAATGATGACTTGCCAATTGCAACTAATAAGTCTGCTGGTGTGTATTTGCCTGGAAGAAGTCTTTTTAAGTACTAAAACAAACACGTCTCCTTGAACAATAATATCACCACAATGACAGTCATTTTAAAACACATTAAAAGTATCATAGGCTGTCATCCTGTTAATTCAAATCACTAATTAATAATGAATAATAAATCAACATAATTAATAAATTCAAGTATCTTTTACTCACATGGGGTTTTTTGTGAATTTTCATGAGGCTAAGAACAGCATAAGATTCAAACAAGTAGCTCCACCGTTGACAGTCAGTGTAAAACAACTCCTTTTCAATAGGAGAGGAAGGAAGTGTTAAAGTGAAAATGTATATAAAACTTACAGCGTAAGCTAAAGTAGTGCACAAGCACCAAGCAAATAAAAATATTTGCAAATCAAATGATAAAAAGTACTATGTGAAACAATTGAATCAAGAGTCAGGAGAAAAAAAAGGTTTTTCCATTGGTCCTGTAAAGAGGCTGTTGCTGTCCCATTAAACGGATAAACTTAATTCAATGCTATAAAACTAGGACAAAGCTTGTGGGTTACATGGATGCAATACCAAAATTACAGTATAAACTCACTAAAAGATTTTTGCCACCAACATTCTTCCATTTATCCACAGGTTCCTCCAGTACCTATGCAGTATCAAAGAGAGGGAATTTTAGTTCACAAAAGGGCAGTTAGGATGTCTGGGATTAAACAAATCTGGTGTAAATATCTGTTCTGGTACTTGGGTTAAGAAACCCTGACAGAAAAACCTTTAGTTTTATTTTAAATTTGTTTCATTTTATTTGGCTGTAAATAAATTAAATTAGTTTTTGCTATTTCAGAAATTTTTTATTAACTGTAAGATTGATCTGATAAGATTTTCTTGGCAGGATATATAATTTCTCAGATTTATCATAATGCTCATACTACACACTCTACACCAACAATACAATATTAATTTAGCAAAGAAAATTTGGGTAATATCCTGCTGGAAACTTACGATGAGATATAATGCCAGACTAATGTCGAAGGTAGTGGGTTTATACTAACCTCTACTTCGGAATGATGTCTAAAATGATTGAGAAGAGTAGTTTTTCCACTTCCTATGTTGCCTTCTACTGCAACCTATAAAAAAGTTAGATTTTTTATTTAATGGAGGACAGGTGAAAGGAAAGACTTGATATACAAAAATTTTCATCAAAATTAGCATGTAGTTAGGATAAAAATAAAATGAAGGCAACGTAAAAGTCGTACCGTAATATTTCTTTCCCGTGTATCTTCTTCCATTGCACACTCTGATACCAAAGAATCCGTATAACTAAGCATTGTTGAAGAAACCGAGGAAAGCGCCAAATTACAAATGTTTATTTCTGTGAGAGAAACGGAATTACAAGTAAATTCAGGTTGTTTTGAGGTTACCTCGAATAGACATTGTACGCGTATGGAAATAGAAGTGATATCGTTCTAATGGCCTTCAAATTCCATACGCTAGCCCTAACATTCCACTGCGATCGCGACAAGAAGCTGGTGTTCTCGCCTCCAACTCTAAACCGATTCACTCCAGTCCAAAACAAAGAACTGAAAGTCACGCTTTTTCAAAACTTAAACACATCAGCGCAGCCGATTTCACTAAAGCAATCAATCTTACAACAGTAGAATGCGTATAGACATCAATGGTTTGGTTAACTTACCTCCAAATCCCTCCAAATAACGAAGTGCCGAGTAAGAAGAAATATGGCGACAATTGAAGAAAATAATCAAATTGTGGCGGGAAAGTAAAAATAGTGGACGTGAGAAGTCTGGAACAACAAAAACTCGACCCAGTTTCTAAGTTCAATCGCTAGAACCAGTGTAAGTTGATTGAATTTAAAGATGTTCCAGATTCCCAACCATGCATTAGAATTGAAGCATTGCCTGAATATCCCCTCAGGTAGCTTTCGCCTAGTTTTTAATCTTAGCACTCCATTAAAATCAACATGGCACTTACTTTACATCAATCTGATACTATTACTACCAGAAAATAGTAAAAAGAATAAATTAGAGCTTTGCATCATACTTTCCATCAGGAACAAATTGGGTTTTTGAAAACAAAGCAAGAGAGGGATTGAATGAAATCAGGGTTCATTGTGATTTTAAATCCAATTTTATTTGCTAAAATTCATAAACAAATTACTTATTTATAACAATGCAACAGAACTTTACAAATTCCATGGGTTCAAATAGTTATGGCATTACTGGTTACAAAATATGACTAAAAAATTGCCATTTTCATAAATAGTTGTACAAAGTGCTTCTCTTTCACTGTTGTTCAAAAGAAAAAATATACCACAATCTAAGATACTTGAAGGTTAAAAGAGATAAAATGCATATACTGATTCAACCATAAACTGCTTTCAAGCCTCTTCCCTTATGTAAACGAGGAGGTGGCCGATCTTCCATATCTTGCCATAAAAGAAAATTGTCTCATAACAGGTTGTAGAAACTGCTGAATGGCATCCAAAGCACTGATTATACATTTGTACACATGTAGATGCTTAGCAATATATATTTACAAATTGCAGTGAAATGCACATGGTTAACCTCTAACAATAAAACTTTCTAAAGCATTGGTTGTCAGTATTATTCTGTTTTTGAGGCATTAATACCCAAAAGAAGCTGAGTATTTGTTTCATAAAACTGGAACATATCAGTTAAGCTTTTATTGCCATCTACCACCTAGAATAGAGAAAAGCAAAAGTTTTTTGGTTAATTAAACTTAAATGTAAGTAAATTCTCTATTCAAAAATGAAGGTTACATCCTGGTGACCTGGTGACTTAGCCACCAGTGATAGAACACCAGTTGATTGATCACAAGGTGACAAGTCTATTGTTTTATTCTCCTGGACTAACATTAGGTCAGGTTAAATGACAGTTGGTCACTTTCCCCTTAACCCCTGTTTACTATGAGAACACAATACCTAATGACCAAGTTTGAAGCTGGACATCTCTATCGAAATCAAGCACAATCAACCGAGCCAAAGTGATTCTTGCAAGACTTGTATAACAAAAATTAATGTGATGCACTGAAAATTATCTAGCACACAACTGAGTGAACCACTTCAAGTACATGATGAGTAATTTGTTCATTGAAAAAGAAGAGTTAGCAAAGAGAAAGGATTTTTTCAGTACCTGGTGACCATATGGTAATACTCTCAAATTTAAAACGGAAAACCAAGGCATTGGTAAACTTATAAAATACTGTCCTCATTGCTGTACATCTTAATGTCCCAACCCTTGCTAGATGGCTAGTTCCGCCACACAGAAATGATACATTTAATATCAGGTTGTGAAAGAACTTACTACTACTGGAGCAGGCAGGGAGAATTTGCTCTTTTTCACCAGCCATTCTTCATATCTTTCATGCAAAGAATTTAAAAGTTCCTGTAAGTAGGGAAATCAACTCTATGAGTCTAGTCCAATTACCTACATGTACAGTACCCCTCACATAAACATTAACCACAAAAAGCACAAAAAATGCACATAAGTTATCACATAAATGTTTACATGTTTAAATGAAAATATGCCCATCTGAATTTTGCCTACAGCTGTACATGCACATAGACTTGACACATCTGTCTCATTTGTATATATATGAGCTAGATTTTTGTTTTTCCATTGTTGACAGTTAATCCCTCTACAGAAAAGACTAGAAACATACAGTGTATAGGTATTCTTTCTATCATTAAGTGTGCATAAAATGCAGGCAACAGTGAAAATACTGCAGGTAGAATTTTGCTCTAGTTCTGTATTATTTAAACATTTGGACAATTTAAAGATTTAATCCTCCCTTAAATATTCAATGCATGTTGCTGTCACACAGGGAATAGCAAAAAAATCAGTAATGCATTTTAAAAGTCTACCATGAGTGGATCTGCTCGTAACACATACCATTGACACTGAACTTTCCTCATCTCTACTCCTCTTCTTTATTCTTTCCATACATTTCTCTGGTGATGTTCTGAGATATACTAGAGTAAATGGGAGTCCAAAAACAATATTGAAAAATTAATATAAGTGATGTTGCAATGAGAAAAAGTTAAATTACAAATCATTATGACTTGGAATTTAACAAAATATGTAATCTACATATATTAAATAAAATAACTACAGCCACAATGTGACTCCTTTTGAATGTTTCTGAGTCAAACTGCAATTTTAGGGGGGTTGATTTTTTGTGGAGGTAGGAAAACTAGATAAACCTGGGTAAAACTCTATGAGAGAGAAAAAAAGGAGCACTCCCCTTGTGACACCAAGTTGAAAAACTGAATGTAAGTCCCGGGGGGTGCAAGTAAGTGGTCTCACCACTATTATAATACCATCTTGGCTCTCTAAAATTCCTGTTTATGTATCAAGAATCTTGATAATAAATTTTTATTGAAGGGAAGACTGGTAAGAAGTTGGCTCTTGCTTACAAATTATGAATTCAAATCAAATGCAAATGTTGCAGTAAACAAAAAAGAGAAAAAAGTGACAAGTACAAACCTATTAAATCTATCTGAGGCTTTTCATTTGCCATAAGGTAATCAAACCACTCTTGAAAGATTGTATACTCTACTGTTGACAACATACCACTATTTAAAAGAAAATAAAAGGTATATAAATACATAACAAGATAATATCTGAAACAGAGGCCACAACAGTACATAGACCAATGATTGAATAACAACATTTCAAAATAATTTACGTTAGCTTTCAAGCAGATACAGCACATCCATTATTTCTTTTGTTGCACTCAGAAGAATAATACTGAACAAAATATGTTAGATATCAAGTGATAGAAAGCCAACAATTAATACAAACATTTAGGTGCCTGTTATCAACTGCCGATCAAGAAACATTATAATAATCATAGTCAAAATAATGATCTACAAGAAGAATTGGCATATATTACCCACAACAAAAATTTTTTTGTCAATAGAGTAACAACAAGGACAAATGTGCAATGATGATGGCCAAGACTACCTTTGCTAAACTTAAGAGCAGTCAAGAGGTAATTAAATGGAATTGCACTATTTTCACATGATTTTGAAAAGATTATTTTCACTTTTAACTGCATGTTTCAGTTTACCTTCTATAGAGATTTTCCATGAAGCAGTACCTTGCACTATATGCACTTCTCTCAAGTAGTCTAACAGGTGTAGTCTAAAATAAGAAGATAAAATTATCAAAATGTTACATGTATGTTTTTTTACTTATTAATTAAATTTCAACTACACTGATTATTGTAGGACAAAGTGTTTCAACTTTATATTACCTGGGGTCTATGGTGAACTTGCATCATAGTGAGAAGGACATAGGACTCAAACAAGTAACTCCATCTCTTTGGATCACTATACATAAGTTCCTAAAAGTCAATTCAATTACCATGATTAAACATATTTTTATTAATTTCTTGGAAGCCTAAAAAATGGAGTCACCTGGGTTATACAATGCTATTTTCTTACCAAAGTATTATTTCCATCAACATTCTGCCATTTTTTCACAGGTTCCTCAATAACCTAGGGGACAAAATGCTCTTATAAAAACTTTATACAAAATATTTTATGAATTATTCTATCTTGAAACATGGCTAACAATTACTATTTTAAGTTAGACATTCATGGTATCCAAGGTACTAGGGTTCTTGGGTTTAAAATCACTTGCCATAGCTTTCTTTGTTTTTATATACCCTGTTTTATTTTTTTTCTATGCACCTCAAAAGGGCAGAAATTTCTCAGTAATGACAGCATTATTTTTTTCAATCCTCTATAAAAAAAAAAGTAGTTCACTGGATAATCATTTAGAATTATTATAAAACAAGATTTTGGAAATATACCTCTACCAATGAATTTTTCTTGAAAAACTTCAAAAGACTTGTCTTTCCACTTCCAATGTTTCCCTCTATGGCCACCTAAACATTAAATACACATATTGCAAACTTTTCTCCTATAAACCTAACAATGAGAACTTAAAGTTTTTGATATGGCTACCCTCTGTAATGATGGTACACTACAGAAAAGTTTAAATTTTATAGCTTCCTCTGATTACCATGTATGTATTATTAATGAATAAGAAAACAAATATATGAGAAAAAACAGAAAAGCAGATAAAATACATGAAAGTATGATTCTGATACTACATCACCCATAGTAAAAAAAAACTGATCTAGAATATGTACTCACTGTGATGTTTCTGTTCACTGAATGGTCATCGCTTCCATTGACTCCATTACATGTACTAACGTTTCTAATATTTCCAATCATCTTTCTAGATAGGCTGCCTGCATATGTACAAGAACAGGTTTAATTTAGGGGGGTAAGACACTGTATAGAATGGGCCTTCAGATACTCAGGGACCTGGATGTACCTATCAAATTGAAAATAGTGTGTTTACTATCTAAACTTTTGGCCACAAGCTAGACATTAGCTCACGCGTTCATACATATATCAATTTGCGCAACCTCACCATCTACTGAAGTTCAACAAAAAATAATAGACATTTTCCGGTGGCAAATTCACTCCATTTCACAAAATAACTAAATTAAGAAATATGTGAACTATATTTAGCATCAATCTTTTTCCATTAACAAAAAAATCTGCTGCAAAGCTAAATTTCTTGCTCAATGAGAAATCCCGAAAAACTAAAGCTCTATTGTTCACTGAAGCTTTCCCTGAGAACACAATTAACCATAACCGCGCGAAAATCGTATTCCTCTTTTAAATTGGCAAAACAATCCAGAAAGAGCAAAAAGAAAAGAAGAAATATTGGACTAACCGAACCAAAGGATGGTCTCGTACCGCATTCTTCCTTGTAAAGTTTAGTTTAAAGGCTTCATAGAGAACCTAATGCATGTAACATTTGAACTACGCGCGCAAACTTTTAGCCACTCGGTACACGAGTTGGCGATTTTGCCTGAACTTGCCCATATGACATCACATCTCACAACAAGGACGAGGAATACGCAGAAATATCGTCCAAATAATAAATTTGGAATATAAATATTCGATTTACGAGAGGAACCAATTCTTACCTTTCAAACCGGGCTTCGTTACTCTCGACAAGAGCGCGAAAAGCGAATGACATTTGAAGGTCATAATTTATTTTGAACACGTCGTTGTGTTTCAGCCAGCGGAGTCCTGATGTCCATGTCACGCAATGTAATGTCTGAACCGTCACTCTTTGTCGCACCATGTATATGGAGGCATTGTGATTTCCCGTCAAAAAATTTGGCACCGTGAAAGAAAATTGTGACATCTATCTGTAAAACCCTGTGAAGAAACTAGTACTAATCAGTAACTTTCATTTGGAAAGATTGCAAAATTAGCAACGAGGTGGAGCTCAAACTACCTTCTGCACGGCAGGGAAGTTTACATTTCGAAACATTTCTTTGTTTTTTGAGATTCACTTACGTATTTCATTAATTAACGCTATATCAACCAAGAAGAAATGCATTGCAGGCCACGTGAGTAGTTACATCAACCCATTCTGTTCGTCTTTTACCTTTTTTCCTCCTTTGATCTTTTAGGCCTTGTTTTGATTTACTGTTACTAGTTTTACAGTACTTAAGTCCGTTTCTTTCTTATGTCATCCTGTAAAATAAAACATTCCTGTTAGGTAAATTTTTCTCGTCAACTTTAACAAATGTCTTTCAGTCCGCTAAAGTGAGTCCTACCCAGTCAATCCCTTTCAAATACGTGGCAGATCAGAGAAAGACTGGGTGCGATTTTTGTAAAAATCAAAATGGAGACTGAGCAGCAGGATAAGAAAATTTTGAAAACTTCCATGCGTTCTTACTTGGAAGGTTTCTACGATTGGGTTCTAATGCCGAAGCGTTTTAAAGTACCCTTTTATTTGTTTGTTGTTGTGGTAGGTTCATTCATCCACGGTTTTCAACCGCTTCCTCAGTCCTATCTCTCGAACAGGAGGAATGTCTTAAACGTGTATTTTGTCAAGTTTGGCTGGGGTTGGACACTTCTTGTTTTAATTCCCTTCATATCCTTTACTTCGTCCCTATACACTTCTTTGAATCCGTTGGCGATACTGAAACACCTAAGAAGGATGGCTGTAGCCACATGTGGATGGTATATTTGGGTGAATCTGTTTGTTTACATCGAGGAGTTGACCGGCTTTTGCGAAGGAGAAGAAAAATTGATTTCAAAGAGGAGCTGCTATCAAGAGGGATTTTACTGGAATGGTTTTGATATATCGGGACACTGTTTTCTTCTAACTTACGGTGCACTGGTTATTAGTGAAGAACTACAACCCAAACTTCATTGGCCGTCAATAACGTCGGCTGTTGTACAAACAAATCCTGAAAATATTAATGGCTTTCAACACAGGAACATTGCTCGATTAGTAACCCCTTTTGTAGACGTTTTTTCTCTCTTTGCAGGCCTCCTTTCAATCTTGTGGGAGTTCATGCTTGTGTTCACCACAATTTATTTTCACACTTTTTCTCAGAAAGTTCTTGGGGCTGTGATAGCGATATTTACCTGGTATATCATTTACAGAGTCTGGTAATACTATGCACCATGACCAGGACTGCCTCAGGTCCCTAATGCTAAAGTGACTACTTGAAGTTGTTTTCACTTAACTGTGAATTTAATCACAAAAATTATATATAGAATAAATCAAAGCTTGGTCTCTGAATAAGATCCCTGATACTAAATGTAGTGCCTGACTGAATTTTTCAGACTCCCTTTTACTCAATGACTTTCATTGCAGTTCATTTGTGGGGAGAGTTTTTTTACAATTTATTTTGAGGTTTACCCTCATAAAACTTCATTTGTAATTAGGTAATCTCAAGAACTGAAAAAGTCTTCTAATTGGAGGATCCAAGAAGTGAGTTTAAGCCTTTTTATTTAGTGTTGTTTATTGTCTCATATCAGTCCTTATGTCTAGCTAACTTTTCTGTAGCCTGTAGAGCAGACACAATTTTGGCTCAGTATTTTCTTAATGAAAAGTATGGCCTCCATCTTTGATTTTAATGGCATTGAAAAGTTGGAGAGAGAAAGAAATTTGTACCAAGGGAGTGGAGAGGGGATGGGGGTGGGGAGTGAAAACCATTGTTTTGTCTTTTTATTTATTGACATCTCTGAGCTAATTCAGATTACATGGGAAAGGTCTATTTTGAAATGATAATGTTAACCTGTTTGATTATTTTTACATTAATAAATGGAAGATTTTGGTTTGTCTTCCCCACTCTCATTTTGATGTTAACTTCTTCATCTTGTAATTTCAAATGAATTATAGCTTACCTGTGAAACTCCACAAATTGCTTGTTGAAAAACTTTCAACAGGCAAGTTGCAAACATTGATCATCTACACAAGTCAAAAGCAAATTTATTTCATATTGCATACCTTTTGTCCTCTCAAAGATTGATGGAACAGAGCTTTTTGACTTTGTCAATGGACATTCATTGTGGCCTAACTACTTGGAAGGCAAGGAAAAGGACAGCACCAAGGGAGATCAAATGATCCTCTATGCTTCCTTAAATGGACTGAGAACCTGTATTAGGGTGATCAGCAGTCTCAGTTGTGAAGTCATGATCACTCCAGACCATCACAGTGATACCAACACTGAACCACTTGTTTTAGGAACATTCATGAAAAACAATATGTTAGCCTTCAGCCCAAGCAAGGTAGAGAGTGACTTTGCTTTCAGCAGATGTGCTGATGAGGAGAATTTGTTTCATAATTCAGAGCTTTTCTGGTTGTTGGCCATTTCCTTGATTCTCATTACCTGAATGTTTGATTCAGGGGTGATGTTGTAAGGAGAAATTAGATGCCAGTCACTCTTGGGGGTTTAAAGGTTAAATACTCTTTCAGACTTTAAATACTCCACATGTAATTTCATGTTGGCTATCTCAGCTTAGCAATGATAGAACTGTAAACTTGTGTGAAAAAAATATAAAATGAATTCAACTCCACCAAAATTCCGTTCAATTTGCAAGCCATTATACTTTGAAAGACAAAATTTTATTCTTTAGTAATATTGAGGTCAAATCACCACATTAAAGAAGTATTTTTTGTAGATATTTTTGTGGGCCAACCAATTGGATAGAGAGGATTCGGCAGCTGTAAAAAATCCGCGAAGAACAACTTCTGCCAGTTCCTTGGTGTGAAGAATTCAGTTTCAATCTGAATGAGATTTTCACTAGGCTCAGAATTGAAGGAAAAGATGAAACCAGAGGAGAACTGAAAAAAGAGATCTTCAACATGACAGCTGTCTTCAAACCACATGAAGAATGGAAAGAGCCACGAACCGTTTTTTATTGCAGGGGACTCATGTATGGGTTAAACAACATACTGTCAAAAGCTGGCATATGACTAGATAACTATTCAAGAAAACTGAGACGAGTCATTTCCAATTATTGTTCTGTTGCTACTGCTAAGATGTCGTGATAACAAATCTGACATTCGGGAAGCCATCAATGAGCAAGTTCTTCCCGATGAAATGGATGAAGTATCGGAGTCAAACTTTCATAAGTTTATTACTGAAAACCAGTCTAAGGTTTTGTTAGTGCTTGATGGCCTGGGTGAAGCAGACCAAAGCACACAAGAATTGTTCATAAGATTCGCTCAAAGTAAACGGCTTCCAAATTGCCTTGTTCTTTTCATTTCTCGACATGAGTCTGGAAAGGAAGTAAGGCGCTGCTTTGATACTCCGTGGGAGATAATAGGATTCGCCAAAAACGACACAGAAAGTTTTACTCACAAGTACTTTGGCAAGAAGAAAGACCTGGCAGAGCGACTTCTCACAGAGATTCGGTCAAGATCAGATTTGCAAACCGATACCCAATCCTTCTAACACAGCATTGCTCTGCATTCTGTGTGAGGATTTTAGCGAAGATTTTCCAACCATCAGGACAAAATTGTACATTGACATTACGCAGTATGTTTTGAGGAGATATCAAAGAAAGAAAAGACCTCTGAGTCCTTGCGAAAGTGAGGATTTACACAAGTGTACGAAGAAGATCTTTTGTGCCTGGAGTAGCTGGCGTTAATATCACTTCTTAAAGGCGAGCTATATATTGAAGGAAGAGCAGTTGCTGGAGGCAATACAAGGGCTCTAACCAAGTTTGGGTTTCTTTCTGTCCAGGCTGGAGGTAGCAGACGCAAACCTTGCTTCCGTTATGGATTTCTGCACAAAAGTTCTCAAGAATTTTTCGCCGGTTTCGAACTTGCATCCAAAGTCGTTTCTGGACACACTGATTTGGACATTGATGTAACTGACGCAAGATTTTTGCGTGAATTGAGGCATGTTTTCGTTTTCTCGAGTGGAATTATAGTTCAAAGTCTGAGGAGAGCGCAATACATCTTTTGCGTACTATTGCTAAACATGCAAACTTGCTAAGCCTCGATACTTCTTGTTATGGATTCAGAGAAATCAAAAGATGAGTAGAGTCGGCATGTTCTTTTATAAGGGAAGTACTAAAAGCAAGAAAAGCCCGAGGCCCCTGTTGCTGCATGAGTTTGGGTCTCACCTCGAACTCGTACCTTTATCCTTAAGGAAGTCTCGTCATTTGAATCTTATCCCTGAAAGTCTCTCGGGCAATACCACCCTAGCTGAAAAACTTAAACCTAGGCAACTTTGTAATTCGTGACTGCGAGGCCGAGTCTCGTCCAAGGCCCTTTCAGACAAATCAGCTAAATTAAATTTAAACTTGAGTCTTTCTCTCTGTGGGTCATAGAGTCAGTACCACTTTGACCATTTTGAACCTGAGAGGTAACGACATCAGTGATCTTGGTGCCGCTTCCCTCGCTGAGGCTATTCCAGGCAATAGGACATTGACCAATCTAAACTTAGGTTCAGTTTAGTGATATTTATGACGCTGGTGCTACTTCCCTTTCTAAAGCTCTTTCAAACAATTCATCTCTAACTGATTTAAACTTGAGCAGAAATCATATTGAGAATAGTAGAGCTGATTCTCTTTCTACGGACAATATTATCTTGAAGATTACCACGTCGACAAACTTGGGCTTAGGGGATAATATGATTGATAATTCTGGCGTTGTTGCACTCATTGATGATGATATTAGTGATGCTCCTACAAGACATACGTCAGATTCATCTAGAGGATAGCCTGATAATAGTTTTATCACTCTGACGGAGGTTTCTTTTATTAGTTCGTAGTTCTATAGGAATGAAGATGCCAGTTTTAAACTTCAGCATGGCTAAGGTTCTTAGTTATTTATGGCGCAAAATTTCTTTACAATTCTCAATTGAGTTGTTGTTGAACACAGAGTTAGTATTGTACTAATAACTGTATTCTAGGGAATGACTGTATCATAATGTCTGCTGATAACTCTTCACGTGTTCGCAATAAATTCAATAAATTGTAACTAAGACAGGTTGATAGTCATGATCTGGTTGGGTAATTCGACGTTACGTCAAAACATCCAGTGTGCGCCACCCTGCCAATAAGAAGTTCTCACTTAGGAACTTTGCAGTTTAATAACTCTATATTTCCTTTCGTTAATAAAAACACGTGTTCAATTATTCAGTTAACTGATCACAGCGTCTGTTGATAATTGTAAAAATTACTGCAACCCAAAATTTCAATTTGGGATTGTTTGTTCCAGAAATCACCAGAATTTCCTCGAGCAAATGTTTCAAGCCACATGGAGTAACTGATTTTCTACTCTGTCGAGATCTCATTTGGTAAGTAGTTACTGCCGAAAAAAGTAAAACATATACTGCCAAAGGTTCTTCAAAGTGAGAGTCATTAAAAACAAACAAACATCAACAACGACCACAGCAATTCAGTGTCAAAATGGCATTCATTCAGCGACTGGTTATCGGTTGAGTTGCTAAGGGGAGGAATGTTTAGAGAGAGTATGAAACCAGAATATGGTTGAATAGTGTTAACTTGTGCTTTCTCCTCCGATCAAAGTTACCTTCAACCGGCTTTTTACCAATTAATCTTTTAACTCCCATGAGTGACCAAGACTGAATTTCTCCTTACAGCCACAATACAGTATCAAGCAGACAAATGAGGTGAGTGAAGGAAAATGTCAGTTAAGGGATTAGTTGATTCTATACTAATTTCTCCGTTGTAACATTATATAAATCGTATGGCAGACTACAGAAAATTACCAATAAGATCTTTGGCGTGAAAGGGTCAAAAGCAAAAATATCACATCACCCGCGCGATTGTAGTTTGTGTCAGGGTCTAAGCTTCACGTAGGCTCGTTTTCCATCTGTCTGTCGTGTCAGGTCTTTGCTCCTCCTCGAAAAAAGAGGAAAGGAGCACGGGCTCATATTCCCGAACAGCGGCTAGTAAACGATCCAAGGCAACTCAGGAAACGAGCAAAACAGCGAGCGAGTGAAAAGCAACGGAGTCGGGAAAAGAGTAAATGCGAGGCGAATGCTCTTCGGCGCGGAGGCTGTCCAGTGCGCTGCACGATCGTCCTTATGCTCTCGTTTCGCTTATGCGAAAAAAAGACAAGACAACAAAAACAACAACGGCTGTTGACAGTGTTCAGTTTTGCAGTCGTTTTCCCAACGACCGCAACTGCCTTTTAATTTGACTAAAACTGAGCTGGGAACAAGTTTCTTTCTTATGTCATCCTATAAAATGAGGCATTTCCTCTGGAGTAAATTTTTCTCGCCAACAATAACAAATGTTTCTCAGTCCGCTCAGTCTGCTAGAGTGAGTCAATCCCAGTCCTTCCCTTTCAAACATGTGTTAGATCAGAAAACGACTGGGTACGATTTTACCAAAAATGACGATTGAGCGGCAGGATAAGAGAATTTTGAAATCTTCCCTGCGTTCTTACTTGGAAGGTTTCCACGATTGGGTTCTAATGCCGACGCATTTTAAAGTAGCCTTTTATTGGTTCGTTGTTGTGGCAGGTTCATTCATCCACGATTTTCTACCGCTTCCTCAGTCCTATCTCTCGAACAAGAGGAATGTCTTAAACGTGTATTTTGTCAAGTTTGGCTGGGGTTGGACACTTCTTCTTCTGATTCCCTTCATATCCTTTACTTCGTCCGTGTACACTTCGTTGAATCCGTTAGCGATACTGAAACATCTTAGTAGGATGGCTGTAGCCACATGTGGATGGTATTTCTGGGTGAATCTGTTTGTTTACATCGAGGAGTTGACCGGCTTTTGCGAAGGAGAAGAAACGTTGATTTCAAAGAGGAGCTGCTATCAAGAGGGATTTTACTGGAATGGTTTTGATATATCGGGACACTGTTTTCTTCTAACTTACAGTGCACTGGTTATTAGTGAAGAACTACAACCCAAACTTCATTGGCCGTCAATAACGTCGGCTGTTGTACAAACAAATCCTGAAAATATTAATGGCTTTCAACACAGGAACATTGCTCGACTAGTAACCCCTTTTGTAGACGTTTTTTCTCTCTTTGCAGGCCTCCTTTCAATCTTGTGGGAGTTCATGCTTGTGTTCACCACAATTTATTTTCACACTGTTCATCAGAAAGTTCTTGGGGCTGGTATAGCGATATTTACCTGGTATATCACTTACAGAGTCTGGTATCATGATGCACTGTCACCAGGACTGCCTTGGGTCCCTAATGATTAAGTGATTGGTTGAAGTTGTTTTCACTTAAATGTGAATTTTATCAATTATATATAGAATAAATCATAGGTTTGTCTTTGAATGAGATCCCTGATACTAAATGTAGTGCCCAATGGAATTTTTCAGACTCCTTTTTCTGCAATTACTTTTATTGCAGTTCATTTGTGGGGCGGAATTTGTTGCCTTTTATTTTGAAGGTTCCCCTCAAAAAATATTATTTGTGATTATGTTATCCCAAGAACCTAAGCCTTCTAATTAGAGAATCCAAGAAGTAATTTTTGGCTTTCTGTTTAGTGTTGTTTATTGTCTGATATCAGTACTTATGTCAAGCTAACTTTTCTGTAGCTTGCAGAGCAGGTGTAATTTTGGCAATTGAGTGGTCAGTATTTTGTTAACGAAAATCATGGCCACCAACTTTGATTTTAATGGCAGCAGAAGGCTGGGGAGAGAAAGAAATTTGTATCAAAGGGGTGGTAACGGTTGAAAATGAGAAGAGGGGTAGGGCAAAGGGAGTAAAAACTATTGTTGAGTCTTTTTCTTTTCTTTTTATGTGTTGAATTATCTGAGGTAATACAGCTAATAATGTTTGGATACTCCTGAGAATCTGAGCAAATAAAACTTTGGAAATGCATGGGAAAAGTATGAAAAATAGGAATTGCATTCTTAGACAGGAAAGGTCTGTTTTGAAATGATGTTATCCCTCGAACATACCCCAGATGCTCTGTCTAAAAGTAAAACTTAGAAGAAGAAGGCCAATCACAGCCTGTGGTAGAAGAGTGGCAAAATCAGTGATCCAAACAGACTGACTGGTGTAGATACAAACAGTAATTTGGCAAATGCTATTTTTCTGCATTTCTCAACCAGTGGTATGTAGGGAATAGCAGATAAGGGAAAGGGCATTTACTTTAACCAGATTTGAAGGCAGTCATGATTTTTTTGTTATCTATCTCAATCTATTTTCTGTTAATTTAGTATTATCAACTGAGTTGAAAATGTAAATTGGCCACCATGAAGAGTTTAACCCTCTAACTCCCATGAGTGACCAAGACAGAATTTCTCCTTACAATATCAATATAATATCAAGCAAAAAAGTGATGAGATTAGAGAAAAATTACAATTAGGGAATTATTAGTTGATCCAATACCAAATTATCTGAAATAACACCATGAGAATTGTGTAGCAGACAGTAAGGAGAATTACATATGAGATCTTGGGAGTGAAAGGGTGAAAAGCTGATGTTTTGAGTGTAAGCCCTTTGTCAGAATGAAGGACTAAGGGCTAATACTTGAAATGTCATGGTGGTCAGAAAATTTTTTGGGGCAAGTTGGGAGAATTCATTTGGGGACCTCGGTTTTGGTTTTCTTTTTTCGTCACGCAGCAAGTTACAGAACGTAAACATAATTCTTCTTGGTGCCTTTCCGAATGCCACCGATGCCTTTCCCGATGCCTCCATTGTTTAATACAGCAGTAAAAGATATATGTACCATCACCACTTTTGAAAAATTGCTTCACATTTTATTTAACGAAGTGTACTGTTAACATTTCGGCTTTACAACACTATTGTTTTCTGCAACTACGACTGAGATGTCTCTATATGAATTAGTAAGTTTGTTTCCCCGCTGACCACTCCTTTTTCGGTCATTGCTTCATGCTCGTCGCCCGCGATGCAGTAACATCAAGTTAACGTGTCGATTTCGATAACGGTGCTGGAAATTGCTGAATTTGGTTCACCGGAGCTTTCTTAATGCAGGTTTGTAGCTATGAACTGTCGACATTTTCAGTTTAAAATGAATCACGTATGACGAAAGTAAGTTAGTTAGATTTACTTGTAAGTTATCTGTTGACATCGCAGCTTCTGGTGAATCGACATCGCTTTCTAAATGCGCGAGTTTATCATTATGCCAAATTAAAATATGGAGACAAGCCAATCAGACTAGATGGTTTTTTGTTTTATGAGGCTCGGCTCCTTTAAATATGATTTAGCCGATCTCACAGCTGCAGTTAGAACACAACAATGTACAAAGTTTAGTCTTCAAATGAGGATCGATTGGCAAGTGCGCCGGTGCTGCATTTACGAACTGATTTTCAAACTTTACAGTTGTAGCAGACAGTTATTGATGTGTTGGAATTATTTTTTTTATTTAACCACTTGTGCAATCAAAAATAATCAAAATCGCGTGAGGGTGAAGCTTAATTAGGTCGGTAGAGAGACAAATGTCGCAAGATCACGTTGCTCTGGACTTCGTTCGTTGTTTATCAAGCGCGATCAGTTCTCACTGGGCTAAGAAGTTAATTTCATCAAATGCGTCATTTTTTGTATAAAGATAAAACTCTTGTAGGTTTTATTCATTCAGTACTGCAGTTTATCCGTTTCTGCAAGTAATGTTGTCGGAAGTAGCGAATAATTCGCTTCATCTTTCTGGTAATTAAGCTTGACTTCTCCGAAGGTGAAATACCTACGTGCGGGCCAGAGAGGTAAAATATGCGCGCATGTTCTGTAAATTTTTGTTTGATGCGAGAAACCGCTGATATGCGCCTGCGTCGGATTCCTGCTAAAGAATTGCTGAAGAAACGATGCAGGAAACAGGTCGGAAAACAACCATGGATCGAGTATTTGAGAAAATTTTCTTGATATTTTCCCCTCTGTAACTTAGATGGAAGCGTCAAAGTCTTAAAATTGTTGTGCGGTATGTGGAAGGAAGTGATTATCTGAAAGTAAAAGATTATACAATCGACTTCGAGTCTTGCTTTATGATTTTTTGGGCGATCGATGCAGATGTTATCTGTGAAGAATGCAAGGGGCCTGTAGTCGTGTCATTGCTATCTCAAGTTAGCGTTGATCATTTGAATTACTCACTTTCCTGTGAGCGTTTTGAAGAGCTTCAGCTGTACTGGTCTGTACTGCTAGTGCAATGTTCTTGAAATTTTAGCGAAAAATTAAAGTCTACGGAGGTCTTTGTTTTGTTTCAAAAGTTTTTTTTTGACATGCATCACAACTGGCGGAGCCGATTACCCAAACAAAAACGGTCAATGTCGAGTAAAGAAAAGTAAGACAACTTTAGTACTAGAGATACGGTCGTTAAATCAAAGGAGAGCTAGTTAGAAATGGAGGAATCTTTAAAGATTTTATCAGAGTAAGGAAAACTCTTTTGAATCATTAGTCTTTGAAATATCATCAGATACGATCAATTATGTGGGGAAATTGGGGATTAAGACATGTATTAGTTTGGACTTCCATTTGTTATATGAATAGTTAAATCAATTATTTCCTAATAAAAATCATGTCCGTTTATCATAATTTTAACTGCAGAATAAAATCTTCTACACTCTTTGCAACCTTATTTTCCAACCTATTAAATTACAAGTTATTTGACACTCTTATTATCAGCCAAACAACAAAGAACCAGTAGGGCTGATATTAACAGCGAGGGATGAAAAACAAAAAATTTCGAAAATCCTTTTTTCCTTGGAACAAGAGTAAATGAGATCAGATAAAACTAATGTGTAGAGGTTTGTTGATCTCTAGATGAAAATGGATAATTTACACCTATCAGATTTTAGAGAAATGAGACTTACGTCAAAAGGGAACTTTGACATTGCATATTATGCAGTAATAGGCACCCACTTGGATGCCTCTTTGAGGAAATTTATAGTTTTTTTAGCCGGGGGTTTGGCTGTGCCAATTTTATGGCAGACAATTAATTAAATCATACATCAGTCACCTGAGAAATTTTGTAGCTCTAAACCTGGAAGCTGAGGAACATGTCAGTATTTCAGCTGATCACTCCTTCTATTCTTTTCCAATGAAATTTCGACAAAATTTTCAAAAACTTTATCGATAATTTTACTTTTAAAAATAATAATAATAATAAAAATAACAAGTAAAGCGCCATCGATTGACTTTTTTCTCTTATCATTTATTTAAAACATGCAATTCATATCCAGTCACCCAAGAGAATGTTACATTCATGCTAATGCTTTGGTATTCGCCCAATAGATTGTCAATGTTTATGATAATTGCGCAAATGAATTTTCTATTCTATTTTCAATAAATGCAATTGTTTTTTGGTTGGTGTTATTGAAGTATATTTTGATGTAAATGACTATAAAGTTCCCGCTCAAAATTTCTGAGCGCGCATTTGTTTGTCAGTTAACGTTATTGAATATCGATACATATTCGATCAACATTAATGAAATGTATTCTGGAGTTAATGAAAACTTATTTACGTTATTGATATAACTTTTGGCATAAATGAAAGTATATTTTCTGGTAATGAACAGCAAAAGGTGTGGTAACAACTATATGTAATGGGGTTACTTCACATCTCCCTAAACAGCAGAGAACATAAAAGTTAATTCCCATCATCAGAATTAAAAATTGAAAGATAAAGATATTTCTGGTAGAGTGAAGTGCAAGTCAAACTGGTTTGAAGACATTTTAACCTGAAAACGACAGAAATACTGTATTCAACATTCCAAAGAAACAATGAGTTCCAGCCCCTATACGAGTGATATGTTGTATCACTCATCTCATATTTTAACAACCAGAGAAAGTTTGATAATTTTAATCTGCGAGTTTCATAGTACACTTCGACTTAATTTCATTTCGTATGGCAGAAGTATTCGACTGAAATAAACAAAACAGAATGAAGCTTACGCCATTCGTTTCGAGTAACACGTGAACATGAAGAAAACGGCACCAGTTTAAACTCATGAGACAGACAAAGCTTACGAATTTTTTTTAGATAAATGAACTGGTTAGACCAAAAGCTAAATAAGTAAACAATGAACTGACGGTGGTGAGGGATTTGGGGGCCATGTGATAAATAAGTTCTACCGAAGTTTTTCCCATAGTTAGCACTTCAAGCCCAAAAAGGCAATTCGAAAAACTCACACCAAAAGATAGCAAAAAAATAAGATGAAACCGGAGATTATTGAGGCAAGACCATGACCGTTGTTAGGACACATGCCTACATACCATGTACAACAGTATTGGAGAGCAATAAGGCCAAAGGCGGTTGTGAGCCATGACTTGGAAAATTCACCTCAACCTCCCAAAAACGAATTCTCCGAAGTTTGTGATAAGAGGGACTCAATCCTGAAGCTGGAACATCTTTTTAAAGGCTTGTGTTCCTTGTGACTACAAAGAGAAAGAAAAAAACGATGTTATTGGAGGTGATATGAAGCTTGGGGGCCACCTCATTCTTAATGCAATCTTACTTCAAAGTTGAAGTAAAATCATCGCGCAGAATGCCTATTGTTCTCTGGACATTTACTTGCAGTAGCGAAAAAATTATAGATCCGTAATATTAGCGGCGAAAGATATTCTGGAGGGCTTTGATTGGTCAAAAGATTACGCGCTCATTCCTCCTCGGGGAATATTGATTAAGCTCCTTTACTTGTCAAGGCGGAGCTACGAAACAATTGCTTAGGAAGTTATTGTTTATGCTATTGTTAGAAGGATATCACACATTACGTGCGTGTTTTACAAGCTGGAATAGCGTTCGATTTTGAAACCGTTCGTTACATATTCATCTATTTCTTCATCTTACTCACAAACACTTTGGTTCTATCACTACCCGTGTAGGATTTGATTTTCATTGGAAAAATCCACCTGCACAGTTTTTCTACAATAGAAAGGACGTTATTAGGTCTGTAAGTCATTCTGATACTTGTTTCTACGAAACGAAATAAAAGTCACACACGAGGCAGCCAGTAAAAGAGAGCAACTCACGTGCCCTCTGTCTACTCCTCGTGTTTGAGCTTCAGGCTGGTTGGTTCCCGTGTGAGTTCTCTTTGTTTGCATCTCACAAGCTTTTTTCCTTTGGCGACCATAGCGATTGCAGGAGGATTCATTAAGCTTCTAGCCGAGAGGCAGGATGCTCGCTTGGAGTAAATCAAATACTCTATGAGGCAGCCAGTAAACTCTCTGCATTTCCAGGCTGCTTCACAGCTCATTTGAATCATGTACACTGGATTGCTTTCCTCAAGAAAAGGTGGAACTACTTGTATGAGATGAGGGTGGATCGGGGGTTCTATGAGCTCTGAAAAGAGCTCCCGTCACGATCATTTTTTCTTCAATCAATCATCATCGCGTGGTTTAGTTGCATAAAGCAGCTGATGCGCTAAGATCATTTTTAAAACTCGCGGTAAATGGTCTATTTTACAAATGAGTGGTTTTCTTGAATAGGGCATTGTTTAGTTTTGACAGCCATTGTTATTAAAGTCTGGACTGAAAACAATAGTGTCGAACTCGAAACGCGCCATTTTTCGAAAGGAACTTCGACTACAAATTTTAAAACTGCGAGGAAGTGGTTGCCGTTCACCAATTTCCCAAGTTAAAACAGATTCTGTTTCAGGAAAGATCCATCTTCTATTTCCCGCCCTTGGGTTTTTAGAAGCCGGTTTTAGTTTTTGAAATATCGCTTTTGAAATCGTCCTTCATACTAAAAATGTCCGTTTTTTCGTCATTTTCAAAGGCTCAGGAATAGTCCTCATACGTTCTCGAAATTCCCCTTTTTAAGCTTAAATCAAGGATTAGCCCTTCCTCTTCAAAAACCCGCTCTTGGGTTTCTCAATTCTTTCCTCCGGCAATGGAAAAACCGAATTTTCGGCCCTTTCTTCTCTAATTATGGGCTTTTCAAGGCGTGAGTACATTCAAATCTCCCGCTTCAGTGATGAGGTCACACTCTAAATTAACGATCGTCTCCACATACAACTTTATAATTCTTACAAGTAAAACGTCAACATCTTAAGACTAATCTTCAAGGTTTGTTGTCCCACGTGCACATTTTGATCTTCATTAAAGCAAATCTCAAATTTTAAGTTATCGGCCTTTTTTCGCGTTTTGTTCGCACTTTGATCATTAAAATATCTTCATCCGAAGAACCAGCAAACACCACGAATATCCACTGAGTTAGAAATGTTGGTAAACTTGTCATACTCTTTCAACCCTCTCCAAATAATATTACAAATAGCTGTCGATCGCCCAGTTGAAAACCCGCGGAAGCGCACAGAAAATGTAAAAATGGCGCCAAACGCGCCGCAACAATTCTACTGGCGCGTGCGCGGACAAAATGGCTCTCTGCTCTACGGTCGTGATAATTTAATCGTTGTAACGTATGATCAGTTAATACTTACACAAATACAAGTCATTTCTAAACTTTACAAAGTTACAACTTGTATCATGACAGTAGAAAATGATGGGATTTACCTCCCAAACGTAATTTTGGTAAGATGCCCGAAACGTAGAAAACAGGGTACGATATAGCAAATTTCGTCTGCGATAATCCACAAGTTGACCCTAACCCATGTGTATTGATCACAATTATCGAGATGGAGGTATGCAGTAAAGTTGAGTGAAGTAAAAGAAAGTAAGCTTAATTAGGTTAAGGCAACTCTATAATATTTCATTCACCAAGTGAGAATGATTAGCAAATCAAAAATTGAATACAAAGATTTACGAAATCCGAGACTGAACCACATGGTTAACAATGAGACTCGAGGAATGCAGCAAATTAGCATATTTAAGGCTCGCTGAATTTTACACAGTTGTCATGGCTACGTAAGAAAAGCGGGGTAAGTTTCAAAAGAAACTGTGGTGTAGCGTTGGTGGGGGGTATTTATGAACTGGGTTTGACAATGTGAATTGGCTACCGTAAAGAGATTCTAAAGCTGACATTTTGAGTGTTAGCCTCTCGTCTACCTCTCTCTACGTGGGCAATTTACATTACCATCGCAGTTGATTAAACCAAATTACCCAACTTAAGAAACGGTCCTTTTGCTTCAGATTGTTAGCACCCTATTTCCCAATGAAAAGTGCACCGTCGATTATCGTAGGGAATAAGAGAAATAAATCGCATTTCGGGTTATTAAACAAGGCAACTTGAAAATTTTAATTTATGTATTTAAGCATCAATTAAGTAGATAACTACAAGGTTTTCCATGAATCAGTTTTGGAACATAATATATCGTTTATTTCCTACAGTTATATTGTTCCTGTTTCTTCGATGACTTCTTCACGATCGCTCGGACTTGAAGAAAAAAGCCAACACCCTTTATCCGCTCACAAGTTAAAGGTTACAATCCTAGCATCAGAGTGGGGATCGGATCAAGGCGAACTACCTACCTTAAACAGAGAGCTAGCAATTCAGTTGGCTAAATTTCATGAAGTCGAAGTTTCTCTCTTCGTACCAAAATGCAGCGAGGAAGACGAAAGAACTGCTCGTCGTCACAGTATTGAAATTGTTCGAGCAAAAGCACGGCCCGGATACGGTGAACTGGAATTGCTAAGTTTTCCACCCAATGATCTGCAAATTCACGTGGTTGTTGGCCACGGTGTGGAGCTTGGGCGCCAAGCCCAGGTTATTAGAGAATTGTGCCAGTGTAAGTGGATTCAAGTTGTCCACACAGACGCGGAGGAACTTGCAATGTTTAAGTCCTCTCAAAATACCATTTCATCAGGGGAGAAAAAGCACAAAACAGAAGTGGAACTTTGTAAACTGGCGGACTTCGTTGTTGGCGTTGGGCCCAAGTTATACGAGTCAATTCGCAGATGTCTTCGTGGGTGCAAGAAAGACAGCGCTATTCTTGAGTTCACCCCTGGTGTTTTTGACGAATTTGAGAATGTCAAACACGTTGAAGAAGATTTGAAATCGTGTAGCATTCTATTGTTTGATCGAGGATTTATTGATGACTTTGAGTTGAAGGGTCTTGACATCGCAGGCAGTGCTGTTGCTGAGATTGAAGACGCCCGTCTTATTTTCGTCGGCGCTCCAAAGGGGAAACAAGAAGACATAGCACAAAGTTTTCTGAGGTGCAATTTACCTGCTAGTCGCCTTACTGTAAGAGGCCTTGTGCAAGAACGAGAAAGCGTGAAGCAGTTGTTTTGCGAAGTCGATCTTCTACTCATGCCATCCAGAACAGAAGGATTTGGCCTAACAGGTCTAGAAGCTTTATCAGCAGGTGTCCCTATTCTAGTTAGTAAGAACTCTGGATTTGGGAAAGCCCTGAGTAAAGTACCGTTTGGTGCCTCTTGCGTCGTTGATTCAGAAGACTCCAAGGTATGGGCAGAAGAGATCAAGACCGTCTGGAGGAAAAAAAGGAAGACCCGACTTTCGGAGGCTAAAGACCTACGTACCTCCTACGACGAGAAATACAGCTGGTCCACACAATGTAAAGCTCTTATTAACAAGATGATCCACATTCTGAGTGGTATGCAGTAAAATATCCAACCGTTTACATAATTTTTCAGGTCATTTAAAATAATAACGATAATGATAACAATAATAATAAAAATAACAATAATAATGATAATACTACTACTAATAATAATAATAATAATAATAATGTTGGTAATGTAATAACTGTTATAATCAAAGCGCTTATAATAGTGTCTATAATAAAGGGTGCATTTTTCGGAGTCGGGAGGGTACGTTGTAATTCTGGCCGCGAATCACGCATAAACATCAGCATTGATTGACTGAAAAGTACTGAAACCAAAATGGGACTAACTTAGTTTTTAAGCAATTTCAATTCTGCTGTCATAACCTTAATAAAAACGACGAAATTGAGTAAGAAGCCCGATTTCAATATCAAAATTTGAGATTATGATATTTATGTAATTTTTTCATCAAAATAGGATGTCATTTTATATTTCTATGGTTAGATCTGGACATGATAAACACGTTTTTCTATAAGAACCTTTTTTAATAAGAACTAGGGACTGCTCTTAGTCTAATGGCACGATTTACTAAACAATAAGTCAGTTTGAAGTCGAACTTAATCTGGTTGCGTCCAAATTGATTTGTTGAAATACTATAACATACAACTTTAAGAGCATGTCAAGAACATTTTCAGGCTCAAATCTGAAAAAAAAAACTTGAGAAAGTTCGGCCTCAACCCCCCATAATAAGGCGACTTTATGAAAACAAAAAAGTGCAGTCCGCAGGGAGATAGAAAGTAGTTTTTGCCAAAAAGAGATTTTTATAAGTAGTGCCTCTTGACAAGTTTTGCTCCTACGATCACCTGAAATGCTCTTAAGATAAAGCACATCAGTCGTAGAAATACCCAGCAATACTACACATAAAAGGATATAATTGACATGTTTACGATCGTCACATGTTATTTTTACTCTTTTCTATCACCGCAGTTGGATAATAATAGTCACAATTATAAAGATCGTACGAGCTTGAATACGCTTGTCTTTACCGCTAAGTGAGTCGCACTAATAAAGTAAAGTTCTTTTTTTCTTGTCCTGCAGATTCGTCTTTTCATCAGGAGAGAAAAAGAAATAAAGAAGCATCCGTGTCATACATTGAAACCGAAAAGAAGATGAAATCCACAAAAAGTGGAGACAGTCACCACTCAGGAACTACTGTTTTCAGCAGATATTCAACAGGTGGGTTCGCTACTCGACGTTATCCCGCCTTATATTATATCTCTCTCTTTACACTCCACCTACACACACCTTTCCCCTAAAAAAAAATTCGGAAACTCAAATTCGAACTCTTACAAAGTAACAGTACATCAACAAAGGGGTCCTTTTGTGCTCTTAACTTATACTCACTCAAAATTTAAAATACTCCGGTAGACTTGGAATATTCTACGTGTTTTTCCATGACTTTTTCCTAAGACAACTGTAGGGTCGTAATTCATTACGACGAGCAACCAAACTCGTTTGCTGTTAATGATTTTTTCCTTGTCTTGCGACAGGTATAATCTGAGTTATTATACGACTGGAGTGAGGCTCTCCTTTCAAGATCTTTTCATGCACTTTTTTTGTCGATGATTCGTGAATTATCTTTGTTTGTGTCCATTTTCTATTTGATCAGATGTTCTAGAAGGTGTGGAGGTGAATCCTGAACGCCCCAACAAGAAGCAGTCGAAAGAATACAAGCCATCTTATGGTGCGAACGGAAATGAATTTGGTTTTATCGAGAATGAAATTAATATAAGACCTATGGGGAGAATGAGCTTTTTGATAAAGAAAATCCACACAAACTCGTTGCTGAAACTGAAGTTCTTCTTAGTGCTGTTGATGTTGTTGTTTTGTTGTTTTCTTTTTTTTGTTTATTTGTCTGTTTGTTTTTAAGTTCCATGTAAATGGTATTGTTTTCATTCTGCTCTATATTTTTTTAAGTGTATTTAAATACGGGTGGTCTTCTAATGAAGCATGTTAAAACTTTGCTCTCTTTACAGAAGATGAAAGTGGCCCTAAGCCAGAGGCCCTTGACAAATTAACAGGTACGCTGTCACCTTCTTGTCAATTGCTTCTTACGTTCACTGGTGGCTCAAATTGGACAAACCACTCGTAGTTATATTTCCCAGTGTTCATGACGGTAAAAAAAAATTTCGGGTATCAAATTGTACGTTTTCAGGTTTTATGAATAAAGGAGGTAAGTTTCTAAATAAACCGAGGTGAAAATATGGAAAATTATTGAAGTTTTAAAGCACAACCCTTCGTAACACTGCATTGATGCTCAGTAAGACATGATGTCTTACAAATAATTGTATCCGTTGGAGAGACGTTTGCTACTTACTGTCTTTGTATAAAGGAATAGAAGTATGAATAAAGGTATAAGAAATTTTAAAAATTTGATTTTAAGAGGCCGCGGGGAGGTCTAGGAGTGAGGCCGCAGCGCGCTAACGTTAATTTTTTCTTTCTAATTGTTGTTGTTGTTGGTTTTTTTTTTCACTTCCTCGACTGACTTCGCCGAAAAGGAGGGACTGCTCGTAGTCTAATGGCACGATTAACTAAAAAACATGTCAGCTTGAAGTCGAACTTAATCTGGTTGCATCCAAATTGTTGATTGAAATATTATACCACACAACTTTAAGAACATATTAAGAACGTTTTTAGGCTCGAATCTGAAATGGAATTGGGAACGTTCGGCCCCAGCCCCCCATAATAAGGCGATTTTATGAAAAAAATATGTGCAGTCCGCAGGAGACAGGAAGCAGTTTTTGCCAAAAAGAGATTTTTATAATGTGCTGCTATGTGTCAGATTTTCAATAAAAGTGGCTATCTTGTTTCTGTCGTTCAAGCGGGCCATCAACGCGCCCAACAAATCGATCGACAGTCGGCACTACAAACGGCTGAGAAGGAAAATACTAGTCGCATTCCATTCACTCCCTCGTTTCACCCTCACAACCACGCAGTTAAATCAATCATTCTTAACTTGGACGTCAAATTACTTCAAAACGATTCAAAGACTGGTGCTATCTTTTCGTAACCTCTAGTAATTTCATTCAAACGTGACGAAAACATAGGCAACTTTTTGGTCAGAAGTTCATTGCAAACCAATGACCAAACTGGAACTTTCAAATGCGCTCGCTAACGATGCAAAACTTGTCCTTTCATCCATAACGTAGAGAAAATTTCGGGCCAAGAGATCCATTGAGATCACGGATCACTTTACTGCACCTCCGCCAATGTCATCGACTGCATAACTTGCACTTATTGCAACAAGTTATACTTTGGTGAAACAGGAAGACGACTAGATGACCGATTCCGAGGAAACCTTCGCCACGTAGAAAGAAATGACAAGGAAGCATCCAAACCAGTCGCTAGACACTCTAATAAGATCTCCCTAATCATTCTAAGCAGCATATGGCAGTTTGCGGCCTTTACTTACATCTAGGCAGTTCGGAAACCCGCAAACTCTAGAACAAAATTTTCTTTCAAATCGACACTCTTAATCCCCTACGGTATCAACGAGCGCTTTTCATTCAACTAATTTATTCTTGTTTTCTCGTCGCCATATTCCCACAAATAGCGTGGCTCCCACACACAACCCATTATTCCTCCAATTGCTCTGACGAAGGGCTAACACTCGAAACGTAAGCTTTCAAACTCTAAACGGTAGCCAAATTACGTTATCAACACAGTTGATGATACCAGATAATCCTGTTATACTCTCCACCGATGCAGCACCACAGTTTCTTTAGAAACCTACTCCCTTTGTTCGTGATGCTATTTGATCTTAGAAATCCACTGCCTAAAAGGACTACTACAACAAACTTGCCAAACAAAAAGCGGACCCCTTTTACTACTTACGTCCTTACCCTTATCTACCACTCCCTTACGTTTTTTTTTTTTTTCTTTCGAAAAATAATTAATTTTACTTCGCAGTACTTTTCTTCGTTATAATCATTCCGTGTGGATTGAGGGTAGTTCGCAATATCTACGAATATAAGCCCGCAAAATTATCTTACTAAACTGCGTAACTAAGCCTGGCTTGTAAACAGAGAAGGTCCTGGAACTACACTACAAATAACTTAACCTGATGACGTCATTACACGTCCTCATGTGCGCGTTAAGATAACTGCCTCTTTCGATTTCAGTAACAACGAAGCCAAATTGCTGAATATGCTTTACCGGAGCATTCTTGATGCAGGTTTGTAGCTATGAACTGTCAACACTGTCAGCTTGATATGAATCATGTTTGGCTAACATAAGTAAGTTAGATTTATTTGGAAGTTGTTTGTTGACATCGCAACTTCCGGTAGATAGACATTGATCGACATCGTTCTCTAAATGCGTGAGTTCACTTTATAATTATGCCAAAATATTATGAAGATAAACCAACCAGACCTAACGGTTTTGCTTTGCGAAGCTCGGCTCCTTTAAATGTGATTTATCCGATCTCACAGCTGTAGTTAGTACAAAGTTAAGTCTTCAAATGAGGATCAGTTAGCAAGTACGCGGGTGATGCATCCACGAACTGATTTTCAAACTTTGCAGTTGTGGCAGACACTTATCGATTTGTTGGGATTGTATTTTAATTAAGCTGCTTGTATTATTAGAAATCATCAACATTGCGTGAGGGTGAAGTTTAATCAGGCCGTTAGCGAGACAAATGTAAAATTCGTTCTTAGTTTATCAAGCGCGATCAGTTTACACCGTACAAAGAATTAAATTTCATCAAAAATGCGTCATTTTTTTGTGTTAATATAAAACTCTTGTAGGTTTTATTCATTCAGTACTGCTGTTTATCCGTTTCTGCAAGTAATGTTATCGGAAGTACGAATGGTTCGCTTCATCTCTCTGGAAATCAAGCTTGACCTCCCATAAGGCGAAAACTTTACGAGCGTGACAATTTAATCGTTGCAATGGATGATCACTTGATACTCACACAAATACAAATCATTTCGAAACTTTACAAACTTAAACTTGTACCATGACAATAGAAAATGACGGGATTTATCTTCACAACGTAATTTTGTTGAGATGCCCGAAAGGTAGAAAATAGCCGGATACAATATCGCAAATTTCGTCTGCGATAGTCCACAAGTTGACCCTAACTCTCGCGTATTGATTAAAGTTATCGAAATCGAGCTATGCAGTAAAGTTTAGTGAAGAAGAGAAAGTAAACTTTATAAGGTTAAGGCTACTCTGTAAAATTTCATTCACCAAATGAGAATGATTAGCAAATCAAAAATTGAATACAAAGATTTACGAAATCCGAGACCGAACCACATGGTTATCAATGAGACTCGATGAATGCAGTAAATTAGCATTTTTAAGGCTCGCTGAAGTTTTGACAGTTGCCATGGCTACGTAAGAAAAGCGGGGTAAGTTTTAAAAAAAAGAACTGGTGTTGCGTCGGTGGGGGGTATTTACAAGATTTTTTAACTGTGTTTGATAATTGAATTGGCTACCGTAAAGAGATTCTAAAAATGACATTTTGAGTGTTAGCCTCTCGTCTACCTCTCTCTACGATGGCGAATTTACACTGCCATTGCAGATGACTAAGCCAAATTATGCTACTGTAGAAACGGCCCCTCTGTTTGAGGAGTTTGACGCCAGCAAGAAATCATTTGCGACTGGCGCGGCTACCTTTCGTGTGCTTATCTATTTTTTTTCTCTATTCTGTTAATCAGTTATAGAAATTTGATTTTTTTTAAACGTTTCTTCATAGCTCGAGATTTTAATTGGTAACACCCTATTTACCAGTGACGTGATAATCGACAGTGAAGTTCACTGTCGATTATCGTAGGGAACAAGGGGAACGAATTGCATTTCGGGCAATTAAACAATACAACATAAAAAGATGATTTGAGTTAAAACTTACTTTCTTCTTCAAATTCGACTTGATTCTTTCACAAATTTTAAATCTCATTAACAAACCTAAAAATCAAGGTGACAAGGAATTGAGGGTTCTTCAAAAGTTTGTTTACTTGGAATGGAAATTCAGCGCGAGAGGGATAACTCGGAACGTTTTACCAGAAGGAGTAATTCTTGCTCGAAAACCCATCAAAGTCACGAAAAGTTTATGTTATTACGTAATTTATGTATTTCATTGGTGCAATGTAATTTATGTATTTAACCATCAATAAAGGTTACTTCCCACCTTCGCGGGTTTCCTTCGGGAAAAAATTCGTACGCGCGTTAGTTTTCCTAAAATCCCAGCAAACTCTACATCAAGAGAAAGTTCTTTAACTGTAGTTTACGATAAAAATATTATTTAAGCGACTTTTCCTTTAAGGAAGTGTCAGGAGCCGGTAAGGTGTGAAACGACCGAGGTTGCTTCTATTTAAATTATCGGATGTCGCAGCACGAGCAAAATGGCCGCACAGTCTTATTCACAAGGCATCCATCAACTTCATGTGTCAGGCTTTTTCGATATTCTGATTGGTTGTCTAGATATCGGCATCTAAAGTTGGAGTAACAAAAAATATGCAAGGCGTGTTGCGTAAATGGACGCCACGGGGCAAATATATCAAAAATCAAAATTTCCCGACATTGTTTCGTTTGTAATTTATTCCCGGAAAGTTTTGGCGAAATTTGAGGAAAATCGGTCAAATCTAAATACCCTATAAATTCGCTCAGAGTGGTAGTATTCCTCCCAATATCAAATGTGAAAGTTTAGCTCATTGAGGTTCGCAAACATCTCGCACCACGCCAGGAGATTATCTTGCCTCCTGAAACCACAAACCAATGGGACAACGGGACGTTCTGGCGCTAATGACGATGGATAAAGATTTCCCGGGAGAAATAACCCATTGCATTTTTTCATCTCGATCATTCAGTGGAGCGTTTAGGAGGACACAATAATGAGCAAAGTTGCCAAAGGCAAAGGAAAAACCCACGGAAAAATGGAAAAAACCCGAAAATGTGCTGAGGAGCAAGACAACGAATCGACAGACAGCTTACAAAGTTACGATTCGAAGGGTTGTTTGCTTGCAGTTAATAAAAGAAACCTCGTTCGCGACTTCTTACGCTAGCGTGGAGCTCCGCCAGCACCAGTCGCTTTCCCAAAGGATTATTTTGACAGAATGATACTCTTTCTTTCTTCTTTTGGGCCTGCCTTTG